GGTCAATGGCCAGGGTCAACGGCGGCACCACGTGGTGTATTCTGCAAATATGCCCGACTGTGAGGGCGGGCACAAGCCGGCGTGAGTAGGTTAAACGTTGAGTTTTATAAGGGCACCACGGGGTGACCAGCCCCTCCCCACCCAGCCCCTCCCCTCCCACCCCCCACACAGCCCCACCCTCCTCACCCAGCCCCTCCCCACCCTCCCCACCCAGTCCCTCCCCACCCATCCCCTCCCCACCCTCCCCACCCCACCCAGGCCCACCCCTCCCATTTTTGGATGCACGACGAAAGTACGGACACAATAATCCCCTGTGGGCTGGTGTAACCAGGAGGTTCCTACCAGTATTAATTTATCGAGCTTGGTGTTGTTCGTTGCAAGGCCCCGTGGGCCAGGGGCTGCCCCTGGTGGCCTTTAGTGAGGCCCCCCACAATAGACAGCACGTGACAACACCCCCATCATCATCATCGCGCTGATGTCAAACCCGCAATGGCTTCAAATGTGTGGCTGCCCTCACACCCCGATGATGTCTTATCGGCCAAAGTGGCTCCTCCCCCCCTCTGAAGATTGGCGAAGCAACACTTGCTCTAAGCCGCTCGCCGCAATGTCCCACTCCAGCAACAGGGCACGTTGTCGTTGTGTCGTGATACATCTGTACGCACTCCGGGGTTTTTTTTACCTACACATTTAGAAACGTGGCATTTCGATTATTTAGATGATTTTGATGCTTATAAATTTCCAAGTGATGAGCCACTTTGCGAAGCTGTCACTTGTGGCCAGGTCGCTTCTGAAAAGTAAGCTCATAATAGCTCAGTGGGCTTTGCCTGGTAAGATAAAAAAAAAATCGATTTAAAGCTTTCGTGACTGCAAGGATTCATCTTCTTTGGTTATTTCGGTAAAGTCACGTAGAATGAGAATAAAATAATGAAATAACACAATAAAATTCTCACGACGTTTCGGCCACAAGACGGCCGCTTGCATTGTGGCCGAAACGTCGTGAGAATTTTATTGTGTTATTTTATTATTTTATTCTCATTCTACGTGACTTTACCGAAAGAACCAAAGAAGAAGATAAAACATTGTTTAGTTTGATTTGTATATTTTTTTACGTGAGTTGTTTACCTTTCCTATACTTTGCACTCCTATGGTGTTTTGTATTGCGTGTTGTCGTTATAAAGTTATGACCCCGTGTCCCTACTGGACATCTGTCAAAAGGAGCTTCATAGCTCATCGGATTCCTCCAGTATACGGTTCATTGCTGGATGAGGGCTTCCCCCACGCCGTGCGGGTTGTAGCTGGTTCTTTGACCATACTTCACCACAATACTCGATGCCGGTAGGTGAAGGAGGGGAGCGTGGGCGTGGCAGCATGGAAGTGCAGTACAACAACGGGCGTTGCCGCGCTACTCACCACGTAGCCCCGTGCAGTCGTCCAATACAAACGAATACACGCGGTCGAGACAACCCAGCCAGTTGAGACAACCCAGCCAGTTGAGACAGCCCAGCCAGTTGAGACAACGCAGCCAGTTGAGACAACCCAGCCAGTTGAGACAACCTAGACAGTTGAGACAACCCAGACAGTTGAGACAACCCAGCCGGTTGAGACAACCCAGCCAGTTGAGACAATCCAGCCAGTTGAGACAACCCAGCCGGTTGAGACAACCCAGACAGTTGAGACAACCCAGACAGTTGACACAATCCAGCCAGTTGAGACAACCCAGCCAGTTGAGACAACCTAGACAGTTGAGACAACCCAGCCAGTTGAGACAACCCAGCCGGTTGAGACAACCCAGCCAGTTGAGACAACCCAGCCAGTTGAAACAACCCAGACAGTTGAGACAACCCAGCCAGTTGAGACAACCCAGCCGGTTGAGACAACCCAGCCAGTTGAGACAACCCAGCGACTTGAGACAACCAAGACAGTTGAGACAACCCAGCCAGTTGAGACAACCCAGCCGGTTGAGACAACCCAGACAGTTGAGACAGCCCAGCCAGTTGAGAGAACCCAGCCAGTTGAGAGAACCCAGCCAGTTGAGACAACCCAGCCAGTTGAGAGAACCCAGCCAGTTGAGACAACCCAGACAGTTGAGACAATCCAGACAGTTGAGACAACCCAGCCGGTTGAGACAACCCAGCCGGTTGAGACAACCCAGCCAGTTGAGACAACCCAGCCAGTTGAGACAATCCAGCAAGTTGAGACAATCCAGCCAGTTGAGACAACCCAGCCAGTTGGGACAACCCAGCCAGTTGGGACAACCCAGCCAGTTGAGACAACCCAGCCAGTTGAGACAACCCAGCCAGTTGAGACAACCCAGCCAGTTGAGACAACCCAGCCAGTTGGGACAACCCAGCCAGTTGAGACAACCCAGCCGGTTGAGACAACCCAGCCGGTTGAGACAACCCAGCCAGTTGGGACAACCCAGCCAGTTGAGACAACCCAGCCGGTTGAGACAACCTAGCCAGTTGAGACAACCCAGCCAGTTGAGACAACCCAGCCAGTTGAGACAACCCAGCCAGTTGAGACAACCCAGCCAGTTGAGACAACCCAGCCAGTTGAGACAACCCAGCCAGTTGGGACAACCCAGCCAGTTGAGACAACCCAGCCGGTTGAGACAACCCAGCCGGTTGAGACAACCCAGCCAGTTGGGACAACCCAGCCGGTTGAGACAACCTAGCCAGTTGGGACAACCCAGCCAGTTGAGACAACCCAGCCGGTTGAGACAACCCAGCCGGTTGAGACAACCCAGACAGTTGAGACAACCCAGCCAGTTGAGACAATCCAGCAAGTTGAGACAACCCAGCCGGTTGAGACAACCCAGACAGTTGAGACAACCCAGCCGGTTGAGACAACCCAGACAGTTGAGACAACCCAGCCAGTTGAGAGAACCCAGCCAGTTGAGACAACCCAGCCTGTTGAGACAACCCAGCCAGTTGAGACAACCCAGCCGGTTGAGACAACCCAGCCGGTTGAGACAACCCAGACAGTTGAGGTTTAGGGAGCGGGAATAGAGCTCGCACTTTTGAGCATCGCACGAGCCGAGAATCCTCGGGTTGGCGTCGAAGGATTGACGCTGTGATGGCCCCGTTCGTGGATGCCACTTCGTGCTTGTGTGCAGCACCTGTGACCAAAACAATGCATGCGTGGCTTTGTACGTTTCGGCGGTGGAGGCGGGGTGGTGGTGGATGTCACGCGCAGGCTTGGGCAATGCAATAAATAAACTAAAAACTAAACAAAGAACTAAACGATTATTTTGTTTTTACCAGGTAAGGCCCACTGAGCTACGTCGCTCTCTTTCAGAAGCGACCTGGTCACAAAATGATAGCTCAACAAAGTGGCTTATCGCGTGGACATTTATAGCAGCCAAATCATCTTGAAGTACGTTTCTAAATGTGGAGGGAATAACCGGAAGGCCCGGAGAAAAATCCGGGCGTCAGGGTGGGAATCGGGATCGGGTTCGATCCCACGACCTCCTGCATACCCGGCGAGGTAGTTAACATCTCGCCACCGTGGCGTCATACCAAGCGCACCCGGGCGCTGCGTAGCGTCCTCGAACAAAACGACTCCCTGATGTGGCGAAGTCACGAACGGTTTACGTTGCCCGCGCGATGTCTCACGGCGCGTTCCAGATGGTGCGCTTATCGCGTGGAGGGTTGAGGTTAAAACTGGGATGTAAGCCATTCTTCTCTGATGGCTACTTCCCTCTCACTGTAAAGTGGGGTTGTTTTTTGGAAGCAGTTAACCGATGGAAGCATGGATCACCAGTCTAACTGTGAAATAAATAAAAAATTGCACGTGAGTGCATTTTTTTGGTGGTGTATCATCAACCATGGTCAATTATTCCTTTTTTTGAACGAATGCCTCCTAAGCAGTCGTTCTCCTGTTTTTTAAAAGTAAGAACAGTAAGGCGGCGGTGGTGGTGGTGATTATACAGGCCCGTAATCCAGCACTCGAGACAAGGGTTGATGGATCACTGCGCAGGTGTTGCGAAACTCTTCCCGCGGGTGTCGAGGAGGTGCCATATCCTGGCTTGCCAGGACTAATCTCCATCCGTTTCCATCTGTACGGGGAGAGTGACCGCTCCCCCTTACGCACGTGGGTTTACTACAAGTATAAACACTCCTTCATCTGCTGAAAAACATCGTAAATTAATAACCCAATGAAGCAGGACCCTCCAAAGCAGTGTCATTGTACTCCGTGTGACTTTCCTGGGTAAATGAGTAATCACTATCACTTGATTGTATGGTTACAATCACGATCATGTGATTGTAACGATAATGATAATGATCGTTACAATCACATGATAGTTATTAATTATGATCAAATTATTCGTCAGATGTATACTTTTGGAAAATCGTGCCGCACACTTGCGCGTTGTTGCCCCAAGCAGGCGCCGTCCGGCGATGTTTAACAATAAACCGAGCCACTGAATGGCGTCACGGCGCAATCGCTAAATCTGCACGCCGGATCTGTCGCAGATAAGATTCCCGAAACTGCTAACGTAAGCGTGTGGCCGGATTCCCCGCCCGCTATAATTACGACGATGAATTATTTAAAGCTCGCGTCTCAAGTTAGAAGCTCGCCAGGCCGCCAGGGGGGGGGGGGGGGGGGAATAAAATTCTACCTTAATATATATTTTATATATATTTATCTTTTAAACCCGTGTTTGACAAACGCACCTTTTGACCGACGCAATGTTTGCAGGCGTAAGTGGTGGAGCGCTTGGTAAATCTGTGAGTCTCCATCAGCTGAGTTCACCATAAGAAATATGATTGTGCTGTCGTGGCCTCTGTGGTCTGTCGCCCTCCCCCACGGTGTCTGTTTGCTGCTGCTGCTGCAAAAAAACAAATCGTTAACAAAGTCGTTGCAGGCATCGCCACACGTTCGCTGCTCGGTTATGGCCGTCAATCGCGAGCACGTTGCATTCCCTTTGTGACGTCACGCGACTGAGTGCGTTGTGGATGTTTGTGCGTTTTTTTTTTTGCCCCCTTTCCTCGTTGCAGACCTTATTGGAACTGACTTCTCGAAGATTTCGCAAAATTTGCAGGCTTTAGTGAAAGAGGTTAGTGCGCTTTGAGCTATTCAACTTTAATATATACAAAAAAACAAAATACATGCAACACACTTCTAGAGACGTTGGATGATTTCTCGAAAAATCTGCGTGCTGGCCTATTGTCAAGTGCGATCTATTGCTGACAATGACTTTGTCCATCATCTTCTTTCCTTTTCTCTGCTCTCTAAAGTACAATGGGTCTGTGGAATCCTCCTTCCTTATTTCTATGTCTGAGCACCCCGACCACACGATCTGGACCTTGAAGGTATTTCACACAAATCTTTAGCTTCGGTATAATCTCGCTCTTTCCCTCCTCCAATGCTTTTAATCTGTCCCCCCCCCCCTCATCCACCCTCACTCCTCCCCATTTGTATCACTCGATCGCTCGCACACTCACCACGCACAGCCACACGCAGAGACAACTCTTACAAAATCGCCTTGAATGTGCCACATTTTGCCGGATCTCAAAAGCTAAGCAGGTTTGAGCATGGATCCTTCAATCCATCTGTGCGGGGGTTTGAGTGTTACGGTCATTCGCGGAGTTGAACAAACATCCAAATGCACCAGCACTCTCCCGAACAGCAAGTCTTGAGACTCGGCAAGGCTTTTCTAAGTCGAGGGCATCATTATTATTATTACATTTGTTGTTGTTTTAAAACAGATGAATATTTAACCACATTTGGACCCCTCTCCCCGACACAGTGAACCGGAATGTTGTGCCGAGGTGAATCATTGGTCTATGGGAGGAGTTTGAGCATAGGAATGGCATGGAGCGTGTGCGTGCCCGCTCTCTCTCTCTGAAAGGGACGTAGTCTCATGTTTCAAAACTTTCCATTAAATAACATTTATTCGTGATTTAGTTTGGGAAAACCCACATATGAAGTTAAAGCAACATTGTCTGCACTTTTTTGAATGTTCCAAAATTCAAATTAGTTCTCGGTTTGCACTCAAACCACAACCTGGAAAATCCAGTTTCTTGTGCAATGTACCCAGTGACATATTTACTCCTAACTTCCCCAATATATTGTTAGCTTAAGATGCCTTTGCCATGCTTACTAATGTGTGTGCGTGTGTGTTCCCGTGCGTGTGTGTTTTTGGGGAGCGGTAGTGCAAGGGTTAGCGCACTGCGCTACGAACCCAGTGACCCAGGTTCGATTCCCGCTCACGGTGAACACCGGTGACGATTATCTGAACCTGTCCAACGCCTTCCCTAGGCCGACTCAACCTCAAACGAGTACCTGGTGCAATGTCTAAAACATCGCCACTAAGGGAGACAAAGACGGCCAGGCGTGGTGCTGGCCACCCACCCACCCCCTCGCGTATTGTGCCGGTCTCAATAGGGGGGGATCTAAGGATATGGGGGGGGGGGGCGCAGGGTGGGGGGGGGGGAGTCTTTGTCTTTGTGCGTGCACGTGTGCTAATGCGTGCGGCACTCCCACAGGTCGCGTTGTACGAGGTGGGCTTCATCGTTTGCGCGCTCATCGGCATCATCTTCATCGTGTTCATGCCGATCGTCGGCTTCTTCTTCTGCGTCTGCCGCTGCTGCCTCAACTGCGGCGGGGAGATGCACCAGCGGGAGAAGGACATCACGCCCTGCCGCCGGCACACGTTCGGCACCTTCCTGGCCATCGTCACCATCATCATGCTGTGGGTGGCCCCAGGGAACGACCCCCCCGCCCCCCCCCCCGCTCCCGCGATACTCAGGGCCGCTCGCGCGCGACCAATGGCGACCACCGCCCAGCGGCGCACGCCTTCTCCTCGGCGGAGAAGCAACGCGATGGGCAGGTTCATTGCCTAAGAACAGTGCCCTTCACTGATTTTCAAGAGTGGGGCCACTTTTTGCCGATAAGACATCTTCACATTTGAAACCATCGGGGGTTTGACAGCAGCACGATGATGATGGGGGGTGTTTTCACATTTGTCTATTGTCTGAGGACGCACATCAGGGCCCACACTAAAGGCCACCAGGGGGGCCGCCAGTGGCCCGCTGGCCTTGCAATGAAGAACGCTGCCTTAGACCCAGGGCCGGATTACGGCTATTAGCGACCTGCAGCTATTAGAAGGGGAAAGGGCCTGAGAATGTACTACATATTGCAAGCAAAAAAAACTATGAAGTCATCAAACATTTATTTTTTGACCTGTGTCAAATTTACGCTTTTATTCGACTCAAGGCACGTTAAATTAATAAAACATAAATCGTTTTTCTCCCGGATAAGTAAAGATTCCAATTCATCCACGACACTTAATTTCTTTAAACATATATTTCCCCCCTAGCTTTTTAGCTGTGGCAAAGTCATGAATGATGTAATCGTAATGCGATAACATTCAATGTGGAGCAGAGGGCCTCCAAAATACGAGGGCCAAATGCCGTATTAGCTTATGGCAGCGGTCGGAAACCAAAATAACAAGAAGAACCATTGTTTTCAGATTCATTACGAGACGGTGGATCCTTATTACATAACGCCACAAAGCAGCCTTTAAAGAGCCGCGCATGTGGATCCGGAGCCGCAAGGTTGCCGACCTCTGACTTATGGGTTAACCTGGCCCTGAAACCCGCAAACCAACTCGGTCTACGTGGAGCACTTCCCACGTTAGGGAAGCCCTGCGTTAGCAAATCTCTCCGGAATGCACCTGGGTCTCGCCAATTGTTGGAAGTATAAGCAGCGTTGAGCCTGGTTAATGCTTGGGTGGGAGACTGCTTGGGAATACCAGGTTTCCAGAATATGTATTTATACTGGAGGAACCCGATGAGCTATAAAGCAAACTTGATTTGATTTTGAGCTATAAAGCAGTTTTTGCTAGAGATGTCCAGTATTTTTCACAGATGTCCGGTTTCTTAGGCTTGGGCTGTGAGGTGACCAGCAATTGATTTTTTGTTCTATTAGTGTGGGGTTATCTGCAGGAGCTATGGACTCCTACCACAGGCCAAATGTTCAATAAGTAGAGGAATTGGCCAAACATCCCACTTCTCGCAAGTCCTAAATCCAGTGGGAATTTCCTGGGTAAAAAAAAATATAGCTGTTACATATAATTTCTTTAGATATGAATACATGCACGTATACATTGTACAAAATTGCATCAGTTGTAATTGTTGTTCGTATTATGATGCCATCATGTCGGCACTTAATGCTGTCAGACTTTTTGCGCACATTCAGTTTGCCTGACGTGCACTCTTCCTCAATAACACAGCAAGATGAACACAGATCAAAACCCCTCCATAATTGCACTTCACTTACTACAGGGCCACCGAGTGCTGTTGGCGAGTACCTATGAGCGATAGCATTGTCACACGAGGGGAGTGGCATGGCGAGTGCCACACCTGACTGACCGCCTTTGTCTCCCAAGTGGTGATGTTTACACACCGTGCTAAGTATGCCTTTAAGCCTGAGTTGACCGAGGATGAGTTCAGGTTCCACTCGATGCTGACGTTATCTGTCGCTGCAAATCCAGTTTGCCTCCTCAGTAAACATTCTGCTGGCAAACATTAGTCTGGAAGTGAACATGTTTGTTAATTATACATTTAAAGTAGACTTTATATATAATATATTATATATTCATTGCCTTGGTATAAAACTTATGTCACTAGGTGCAGAACGTGATAAAGCTAAGCACCGCATTACCCCATATACAGACACGTACCATGCACGGTGTGATACGCGTTGCTTATCAAACCATTGACTTGTTTAACATCGGCACAAGTGCATTTTGCTGCGTACGATGGCAAGCATTATAAGAATGTTAGTTTAACACGTAGGCTTTCGCGACCAATATCTTCCATAACACAGGAGCGCACAAGTGACGTCATCACATCTACGCCTCTATTTAAGGAACGAAACAGTAAGACTTCTCCACAAATCTGGCTGTCGCCTGATGAAGCTAGTTGTAATTACTGGTGAAACGTCGTACTCAGATTGTAAATGTTGTGGCTTGGCTCTCTAACACACCGGTGTGCTGTACTCGTGACGAATTGGCCACGTTCTGTTTACGTGACAACCCTTACTAGTTGGCTGTGTCGGGTGGTGGCGGGTTTTAACGACACATTTAAATTCACGTGATCTAACCCAAAACAAAACAAAAGCCTTTATCATAGAAGAATGTTGTTTGTGCAAGAAAAGCTGTATTTCTCTGAAAAAGTATCTTCAAATATCACGCTATTTTGTTGATTTGTTTTACTCCACCAAACGTTCAGCGCCGGGATCGCGTGCGCCTTCGCAACAAACGAGCAGACAACGACGTCCATGAAGAAGTTGCCGAAGCTCATGACGGACAACCTGAGGGACCTGGCCACCTTCATCAGCGACATCCCGAAGGTTGACCGAACGCCACCCGCGTGCCCCCCTCTGCGTGTCCCACGCGGAAACGTTGGGACAACGTTGGTCCAGGGATTCAAACCGCGCGCGCCAACGTTGTGGCCCAACGTTGCATTTTTGCTGGGGTCGGCCACAGTGTACTGTGTCGGGAGCACATTCGAGCAGAAAATCATATCCTGTTCCAGAAAGCCCGTTGAAGGATTAACATTTATTTTAAGCTGTGCGTACATATTGGTTTTTCACGAAGTGCACGGTGTCCATTGCAGAGACTGTGTCTGTGTGTGGGAGGGCGGGGGGTATCCCATGAACGCCTGCCGGTCAGCTTTTGACAGTTCAAGATTCCTAACAGTGCAACATAGCCTGACACAAGTGTCATCATGGTGACACTTGTGTCATCATGGTGACATCGTCGGCATTTCGTTTTTTCTTCATATTTTACCTGGAAAATTCCCGGATGGAATAGCTCGTTTGCAGGCGTGTCCAGCGCCTCAATTGACACACAGAGTAGATAGCAAACATGTAATGATGTATATCCAAATATATATACGGTATTCAGTAGGGAATAAGTAAGTCTGTACATTGGTTATTGTGCAACCTTATGAGTCTAGTTCAGGGGTCGGCAACCTCTCAAAGAAGGAGAAGAAGATACTTTTATTTATTTTTGTATTTGACCAAAATAGTTGGAGAGCCGCATCACACGCAGATGGAATAAACTGCGTCTATTTACTTTTTGCCACCCTTAGTTATTCTTTAACAATACAGTTTGGCCCTACGTTTTCTCGCCACCAATATATTCCAGCGTGACCCATATATATTCCATCATAGTTACGACATTATCAGTGGCGTAAATTGCGTTGGAGATTAAAGTTTTTTTTTTTTTAAACTGCTGCCCGGCAAGGGGACAGCCAAAGAACCGCAAGGGGGAAGCCCAAAGTGCCACCACATGTCGCTCTAACCCATGACAAATGCGCGCTGATCACACTCAGTGAGCTCATTGGGAAAACGCTGCCTTAAGTCTCTTTCGCAAAACTGGCTGAGAGTGGCGGTTGCTGTGTACGGAGCTGCTGCTGCTGGTGCGGTGAGCGTGGTACGCCCATGCGACCGTGCCCACCCACATCACGAATGATAATTTCCACTCCGCTGGCTGTGCCACGTAACCGCGTGCGTTGTCACCGTGCACACGCGGTGGTTGTGTTGCCCACTGCTGGTTGAAGAGTTTTCAAGTTTAAAGATTCATTTATTAAGTATAACCCTGTGAGCCATGCGGCTCTTAAGTCGGGTGCAACCGCAACAAACAAAATTTGAACACAGAACATATTAAAGCGACAACGCGTAACAGAAACATCGTGGAATAAACCAGCAAATATTCCAAGCAAAAAAAACGTATTAAACCCTTGTGTGCAAAAATCAATGTGGTGCAAGCCAACAACAACAACAAACATAAGACAATTTAGATTAACCATATGTTTTCGAATCACCAAAATAAAGCTATAAAAACAATGTAACAACAGTAATCATAGGAACTTTGATTTTAAATTTAACAATAAACGCTATACATAACACGTACGACAAAACCTGCAGCCATAGCTGGCAGCACGACACTCCCAGTGTATGATGTGTGAGTGAGTCAGCAGCAGAGTGAGTGAGTGTATGATGTGTGAGTGAGCGTATGATGTGTGAGCGAGTCAGCGGCAGAGTGAGTGTATGATGTGTGAGTGAGTCAGCAGCAGCGTGAGTGAGTGTATGATGTGTGAGTGAGCGTATGATGTGTGAGCGAGTCAGCGGCAGAGTGAGTGTATGATGTGCGAGTGAGCCAGCACACGATGAGTGAACCTGTGTATGATGAGTGAATGGGTCAGTGGTTGTGCGAGTGTATGATGTGTGAGTGAGTAATCGCATGATGAGCGAATCAGTGCATGATGTGTGAGTGAGTCAGTGCATGGTGTGAGTGAGTCAGTGTATGATGTGTGAGTGAGTCAGTGCATGGTGTGAGTGAGTCAGTGTATGATGTGTGAGTGAGTCAGTGTATGATGTGTGAGAAAGTCAGTGTCGGCTCCGTCTCATCGTGCCGTCGGCGCCCCCCGGCTCCGTCACCCCCCCCCCCCCGACTCTGTCGCCCCCCCCGCTGGCTCCGTCGGCCCCCCCCGACCCAGCTCCGTTGGCCAACCCCCAGCTGGTGAGATGCAGTGGTGTAGTAACTACATTATCAGTGGTGTAGTGACTACATTATCAGTGGTGTAGTAACTACATTATCAGTGGTGTAGTGACTACATTATCAGTGGTGTAGTAACTACATTATCAGTGGTGTAGTGACTACATTATCAGTGGTGTAGTGACTACATTATCAGTGGTGTAGTAACTACATTATCAGTGGTGTAGTAACTACATTATCAGTGGTGTAGTAACTACATTATCAGTGGTGTAGTGACTACATTATCAGTGGTGTAGTGACTGCATTATCAGTGGTGTAGTAACTACATTATCAGTGGCGTAGTAACTACATTATCAGTGGCGTAGTGACTACATTATCAGTGGTGTAGTTACTACATTATCAGTGGCGTAGTGACTACATTATTAGTGGTGTAGTAACTACATTATCAGTGGTGTAGTAACTACATTATCTGTGGCGTAGTGACTACATTATCAGTGGCGTAGTAACTACATTATCAGTGGCGTAGTAACTACATTATCAGTGGTGTAGTAACTACATTATCAGTGGTGTAGTAACTACATTATCAGTGGTGTAGTAACTACATTATCAGTGGCATAGTGACTACATTATCAGTGGCGTAGTAACTACATTATCAGTGGTGTAGTAACTACATTATCAGTGGTGTAGTAACTACATTATCAGTGGCGTAGTAACTACATTATCAGTGGCGTAGTAACTACAATATCAGTGGCGTAGTAACTACATTATCAGTGACGTAGTAACTACATTATCAGTGGCGTAGTAACTACATTATCAGTGGTGTAGTAACTACATTATCAGTGGCGTAGTAACTACATTATCAGTGGCGTAGTAAGTACATTATCAGTGGCGTAGTAACTACATTATCAGTGGTGTAGTAACTACATTATCAGTGGTGTAGTAACTACATTATCAGTGGTGAAGTAACTACATTATCAGTGGCGTAGTAACTACATTATCAGTGGCGTAGTAACTACATTATCAGTGGTGTAGTAACTACATTATCAGTGGTGTAGTAACTACATTATCAGTGGCATAGTAACTACATTATCAGTGGCGTAGTAACTACATTATCAGTGGCGTAGTGACTACATTATCAGTGGTGTAGTAACTACATTATCAGTGGTGTAGTAACTACATTATCAGTGGTGAAGTAACTACATTATCAGTGGCGTAGTAACTACATCATCAGTGGTGTAGTAACTACATTATCAGTGGTGTAGTAACTACATTATCAGTGGTGTAGTAACTGCATTATCAGTGGCGTAGTGACTACATTATTAGTGGTGTAGTAACTACATTATCAGTGGTGTAGTAACTACATTATCAGTGGTGTAGTAACTACATTATCAGTGGCGTAGTAAGTACATTATCAGTGGTGTAGTAACTACATTATCAGTGGTGTAGTAACTACATTATCAGTGGCGTAGTAACTACATTATCAGTGGCATAGTAAGTACATTATCAGTGGCGTAGTAACTACATTATCAGTGGTGTAGTAACTACATTATCAGTGGTGTAGTAACTACATTATCAGTGGTGAAGTAAGTACATTATCAGTGGCGTAGTAACTACATTATCAGTGGTGTAGTGACTACATTATCAGTGGTGTAGTAACTACATTATCAGTGGCGTAGTAAGTACATTATCAGTGGTGTAGTAACTACATTATCAGTGGTGTAGTAACTACATTATCAGTGGTGTAGTAACTACATTATCAGTGGCATAGTAAGTACATTATCAGTGGCGTAGTAACTACATTATCAGTGGTGTAGTAACTACATTATCAGTGGTGAAGTAACTACATTATCAGTGGCGTAGTAAGTACATTATCAGTGGTGTAGTAACTACATTATCAGTGGTGTAGTAACTACATTATCAGTGGCATAGTAACGACATTATCAGTGGCGTAGTAACTACATTATCAGTGGTGTAGTAACTACATTATCAGTGGCGTAGTGACTACATTATCAGTGGTGTAGTAACTACATTATCAGTGGTGTAGTAACTACATTATCAGTGGTGAAGTAACTACATTATCAGTGGCGTAGTAAGTACATTATCAGTGGCGTAGTAACTACATTATCAGTGGTGTAGTAACTACATTATCAGTGGCATAGTAACTACATTATCAGTGGTGTAGTAACTACATTATCAGTGGCATAGTGACTACATTATCAGTGGTGTAGTAACTACATTATCAGTGGTGTAGTAACTACATTATCAGTTCAGGAGCTTGCTGCAATCGGGTAAGGGTTGGGGCCCCAATATTTGCTTTGTCTCGCACGGTCGCACCTCGAGGCTGTTGTATCTCGCGGCCTCCTCTTTCCCTAATCACATCATCGTGACGCTCACGTCTCGAACATTTAACGCTGCAGGCGGACTCCGTCTTCGCAAAAATCAGCCGCTGCAGCAACCTCTTTGCAATATTACGGTAGCGCCCTAATTGCATGAAAATACAACGTGGAACCGTGAATTAAAAAAAAATTAAACCGCGTTTTTAATTAGTTCTTATTTTCTCTTGAACACTGTTGTTGAAAACACATGCCATGCTGGCTGTCAAGTGGGCCCCCCCACCTCCACGCTCGTCACGGCTCCTGGTGGGATTGCCTGGGCTTAGTGGCCGTGTTCCTTTATAGTTCATCGCCACCGTGTGCATCGGTAAAAGCCCCCCCTGCCACGCGATCCCTTTCCAACGGGCAGCTCAACGTCCACCCTAAGGGCAGTGTCACCGCTACGGTGGGGGTCAATGTCGCTCTTCGTTTCCTCACGGCCACTGACGTGGCTCGGACCCGTTCTGTCCCAAGATCAGCACAGGGAGACCTCCCGCCCTCCATCACTCCCTCCCGGCCTCCATCACTCCCTCCCTCCCTCCATCACTCCCTCCCTCCCTCCATCACTCCGTCCCTCCATCCCTCTCTCTCCATCCCCCTTTTTTCGTAACGTTCAGAGGAAACAAGAAGATGATCGGTCTAGTCGGCACTTTGCTTCGTTCATCATTTCGTTTTTTATGCTTTGCGTTATGTAACCCCCCCCCCTTTTTAAAATGAAAGATTTAACAAAATATTTATTGCTCTGCTCTCCTTCCCCCTTCCCTCTCTGTCTACCCCCCTCTCTGTCTACCCCCTCTCTCTCTCTACCCCCTCTCTTCCTACTCCGTGTCACTCTCTCTCCATCCCTCTCTCCCTCCCTATCTCCATCCCTCCATCGCTCCCAAGATCAATCACTTCATCCTTCCCTCCACTAATTCCTTCCCAGTAATCTTAAAACGAAACATCTTATACATCGTTGACATAGGGGGCCGTCCATAAATGACGTCACGCACCTAGGGGCGGGGTCAGACATTTGTGACGATGTGTGACGAGGGGGGGGGGGGTGAGAAAGTGACGTCACATCAGAATGCGCAACTTTAAATAAATATAGACAACACGTTCTACTTAATTACATAGACTTTTTAAATAAATGTTTTCTCCTACAACATCAGAGTGCAGCGCCACATTAAATACGCACTACAATGACAATAGTTTAAAGCGATTTGAAGCATGTTTTAAAAAAATTTGGGGGGGGGGGCAGAGCTTTGTGACGTCATATTTGAGGGGGGGTTCTGACTTTTTGTGACGCCGTGTGACGAGGGGGGGGGGGTCAAAATCGTCCAAGACGTCATTTATGGACGGCCCCATAGGCATGCGGTTGGGTTATTTGAAGTCTGACCAATAATCTGGCATGCGCCCCATTACCGTTGTATCGCGACATGGTTGAGCGTGTACAGTACGGTACTGTACGTGTAACCATTGGGCACCATATGTGTTATAGGCTGCTACAGGGCTACATTATGGGCAGCAGAGGGCATTGCAGCAAGATCCGCTGTTGTACTGTACTTCCATGCTCCTCACCTACTCCGCCCCCGCACAGTTGTGAGCGCAGCGAGATACGTTCAAATAACCTCCGTGACCCGCATGGCGTGGAGAGGCTCTTGAATCGAGGGGACCAGCATAATGCTGCATGTTGCACGGGTCGCTGCAGCTTGGGACCCAAACGTTTATAAATGGTGACCTTGTGAGCTGTGTGCTGCCGTTGTGGGTTTGTTCTGAACAAGTCTGAACTGTGTCACTGATCGTACCAAACGTGCCCTGAACTGCCTGTCCTCTTGCCTTTGCAGCAAGGAAACCAGATCTTGAACCAGTACGGCACCTTTTCGAGTCGAGTTATGGGCCAGCTATCCTGTAAGTGAACATCAACATTGGTCAACGTGATGGTTTGTTTTTTGCGTCGGAACAAGAAATTAAAGAGGCCGATGACAGCTGAGAATTATAGTCAAGTGCTTGTGCGAATTGTTAACTCACGTTTTAGGAATACCGTACGCTTAAAAAAATATAGGAAAACCACCACGTCCATTTGAGGAGGTTGCTGTGATAACAATTAGAAATATGTAAATCAGCTCAAGCCTCCTGAAAATTCTGCGCCTTATATGTCGCGTAATTCGGAATCCCCGCCCACTGTGAAAGCAGACGCTGCTCCTCCGTTGCAGCTCACTTTTGCTCGCTCCATCCCTTTCTCGTCTCTCCTCTCATCATCATCATCATCACCGCTGCCCATCTTGGCCCGGCCATTCCTTCTCCTGTTCCTGTTCCTGCCCGGCGCTCCTTAATTCCCGCAGCGCGTCTTGGGCCGTGCCCTCGTTGTCTTGGGGATTTCCATCCCAGCAATTCCTTCCCTTCCCCGCTAATCTTGGCCCCCGTGTGCCCTTTCGATTTCCCCCTCTCGCGATGTGCCTTGGGGTTAAAACGTTTCGCGAAACAGTACTGTAATCACAATCGTATAACCGTGCAATAATTACACATCGCATCATGTATTCTTTCCACATGACGCTCCTGTCTCTTGCGTAAAAGAATGTACTTCACGTGCGTAAATTGCTTACGCCTGTACGGTTTTCAAAATGACTTGTTGTGGACAGCCACTGCATTCATGGCCCCGATTCGGCAAGGTCTTTCGAGCGCCTCGTCCTCTAATCTACTCGATTAAACATTGCCGCCTGTCGTTTGCGTGCTTTGAACCATACGCAACACTTCCCCAACGTTACTGTGGGTGTCCTACCTCTTTGTCGTCAGCCATCGATTCTTCGGTCGGTGGATCCTTGCAGACAAACATCGGCGATCAGGCAAGACCTCTGCAGTCAAGGGCTTTGGCTCTGTACGCAAGTAAGTGCCAAATTGGTGCTCGCCTGCATTGCGAGTGAGAGGGAAAAGAAGTTTTATCGCCCAAACGTCCCAGCAATTTAAGGGCTTCTCTGATGGCCTCGGCGCTCTAAACTATCTACGGCATCGACGTATTTCGGAATTCTCGGGAATGAGTTTCGCATATTTATTTTTTTAAAACTCGGACATGGGCCGTACGAACAGATAGTGCATTTGTTTAAAAGAATGCAATGGGATGTGAACAACTGCTCATTTTAAATTGCAAAAAAGTCATTCGGTATTACCTTTTTCACGGCTCACCTGTCCACATTTTAAATTAATTGGCTGAACGTTGCACGCGCGCGACGGTAGTTGGTCACGAGGAGGGATACTCGGGCGTGTGCGCCGGTTCTGAAATGCTCCTTTACTTTGTATATCGTCCTCACAAGTCCAGCATTTCATGAGCAACGATATTACTCGCCGAGCCGCTAAGTGGATTCGGCCAATGACACCACACCCTATGACGTCGTGCAGAGGTGCCCACGCGGTGGCACGTGACGTCATCAACGTGGCCCACGATCATACCTCTATCGCTGGATTTTATAGTAACGTTTTGGTCGTAGCGCTTGAATCGATTCGTGCGGTTTTCTACGGAGGCAAGTCCCTCATTGCAACACGACTTTAACACTTACTTCACGCTTATTGGTCAATGTTTACAAGCGTTACTCTGTGACCTCATGTTACAGAGAATAGAAGGATGGACAGAGCTGAGTATTGGATTTTCAGAATGTTTGGGCTTATTGATCATCCACCACGCAATCAGTTTATTAAGCATTAATGGCTACGTTTCGGCTGTTCATGTCCCTCCCCGTGGTCGAGTGGATTTGTCACCAGGTTCTCAGGTTTTTCCCCTCCACATTTAGAATCAACGTCACGTGTTTAGAGTATTGGGCTGCTATACATTTCCAAGTGATAAGCCACTTCGTTGAGCTGTCGTTTGTGGTTAGGTCCCTTCTGAAAAAGGGTTACACAGCTCAGGGGGCCTTACCAGGTTAAAAAAAAAAATGTTTTATAATTCAGTCACGCATTAGTTCTGCACATCGTTCACGAGCGCCTGCCCACGCGGAAAATGGCCATGCAATTGTGCGCGCGTGTATACATGTAGCATGTGGGGAGCGGTGGTGTAGCAGTTTGCGCAATACGAACCCGGCGACCCGAGTTCAGTTGCTGCTCATGTTCAACACCAGTGGCGATTATCTGAACTGGTCATGGGCCTCACCAGAGCTCGAATCAGCCTCAAATGAGAACCTGGTGCGGTGTGTCAAATAATCGCCAATGGGGAGACAAAGGCGCCCGGGCGTGGTGCCGGCTACCCACCCCCCTCGCCCCCTCGTGTCCCGTGCCGGCCTTCAGGGGTTGCTCGCTAACATCATTTTCCCCGAAAGTCTGTAAAGGCTATACTGGGGGATCTTCGTCTTTAAACATACAACATGCTCACGTGTCCCACGTCTCCCTTTCCAGAGATGCAGAACATTTCGGCCACGTTACAAAACGTCGACAGCTCTCAGCGGAATCTGCTGGGCGGCGTCGCCAAGCTCTCCGCGGACCTTGAAGCACAGCGGCAGAATCTGACCGGGATCCTCGGTGCGTGTGGGCCCAACTGCTCCGTGGCCTCTGCAAAGTTGACCAACCTCTCCATCGCCGGAAACTTCAGCAACGTAGGTGCCCAATACTCCCCGAAGCCGCACGACATCGCCCGCAGCCCCGTTTTGCGTTGGCCCACCGCCGTACGTGGACCTGAACGCTCCCCGAGGGTTTGGGGATTTGTGCAGAGTAGTGATGACGCCTGTACTGGCAGTGACGCACACGATGGAAACGCGCATCCTAGTTGGCTCCCATTGAGTGGTAGCGTGTAATGGTTTGGCGAGCCATCCCGCCAATCCCCCCCGCCCGCCCCCAATGCCGTATCGGTCATGGGGGTTGTTTGCCCATACTTCACCACGTGGTGGAGGGAGGAGGAGGGGGCTGCGGTGGTGCACAGGATCTGTTTAAGATATCTCCATGTATGTTAGCCATGGTTGAGAACCACACTCAGGTCAGTGGGTTCGTAGCGCAGCGCCCTTACCACAGTGCCTCCAGATGTAAATGACTTGTTTTATAATTTACAGATGGCGAATCTGTCTGAACAAATTGCATCGGTGGACTCTGCTCTCAAGACCAACATCACCGCGTTGGTGCTGGAGGTAGGAAAACCCTTGGCACTGGACTTTGCGCGAGTTCACAGCCAGTGGGCACATCCGTGTCCCCTCCAACTGATAATGCAGTATGCGTTAGCACATGTTCACATTGTTCGTGTAAATTTGGGGTTATTCCACGATTGTTGTTCTTTACCACATCACTCCCCAACTTCTGTCTGCGCTATCAGCAACGTGTTTAACGGGTTACTCAACGTGCAACGACTTAAATTGATTATTATCAGAGTGGAATCGATTGTTCTGTACATCATGCACGCATCAAACCATGCCCGCAAGTATTGGTGTTTTTCGTGTGATCATTTTTGCAAAACGCAAAATAACGGGCAATTCTTGAACTGTATTGTGATCCTGAATCGCGACGACTCATCGAATCGTGATGGGGGGAAATTGTTACATGCCGGGTGGACAGCCTTGTTGTGTAATCATAGTGGGGAGCGGTTGGGGGCTTAAAAAACATGTCATTTTTTGTAACTGATTTAAAATGTTAAACTATTGTGAAATTCACATTGCAAATGCGTGCTTTTTTATGTTTGAGAATGCAAAAGACTTTGCACGCTTTGCCAGTTGCTTGACGTGAACCCGACTGGCTTGCCGCTTGTCTCCACCACAGGGCAACAAAACCATCGCCGACATCCCGTCGCGGGTGAAGAACGAGACGGTGACTTCAGTGGCAGGTACGAGCAGAGGGGTGGCGCTCGCAGTGCGGGGTGTAATGCTTGCTCTGCCGAGTTGTGTGCGACGTGCATGCATGTTGAACTTCTTTCACACCGCACGTAGCCAATAAAGACATTTTTTTGGTCGGGGAAAAAAAAAACGTCTTTGGTATTTCCATCGCCCCTTGCGCTGTGTTCACATTGTGGCGTTCTCTGGTCTGACAGTGGCGAGACAAGGCCAAGAAGGAGGCTGTTGCTGGTGTAGGCCAATCAGTTTCAAAGACGAAGCATACATTATTATCAAACGACAATTGGGTTGCTTGTTTTTTCCACAGACATTTGTGGATAATACAGACTCGATGCCTTGCAATAGGTGTGTCTATTTTGGTGTTTGAACATTTTAACACTTCCTGTATTATTGCCAGAAAGAGTAAAGATTATTGTTTTTTTAATATAATTGTTTTATTCACAATTAACGTGATGTCTCGAACTTATATGCTCTCTCATCAATGTGACCCACCACCTGTCTGTCGGTATCATTACAAGAATGAATATTTCTATGTTGTTTTGTTTTGAAGGGTGCCACGGTGGCGAGATGTTAACCACCTCGCCTGGTATACAGGAGGTTCTGTAGTTCGATCCCAACCCTGACACCTGCTGTATATTTGGAGTTTGCGTGTCTCTCCCCGTGGTTGCGTGGATTTTTATCCGGGTCCTCCGGTTTTTCCCTGCCACATTTATAAACACGCGTTTAGAGTATTTGGCTGCTATAAATTTCCACACAATAAGCCACTTCGTTGAGCTATCATTTGTGGCCAGGTCGCTTCTTAAAAAAAACTATAAAGCCCAGTGGGCCTTACCTGGTAAAATACAAAATATAGCTTTTATAAATATATAAGCATAAAAGCTGTATTTGTTTGATTTTTTATCAGTGTCCATGTTCTGGGTGAGCACTTTATATTCCTTCCAACCTTCACTTAACGTTTCATATTCAGGAACTTTTTTTGTCTACATTGCTTAATGGCTTGACCCCGTATGGGCCCTATTTTGATGGCATATCACAGATGTACAGGGCTGCTTTCATGACCAAAGTCTCGCTTGAAAAATAGACTATTATACCCAACAGGAAGTAAACGCCTGCTTTTAAGCTAAAAGGTTCCGTTTGAAAATGTTTAACCATAGTTCATTCCCGATGTGCCCTGAAAAAAGAAAAAACGTTAAGAGAATTGGATATTCCAAGGTCAGCCGCGACGTTTACGCACTTGCTGGTCTTTATACTGACTACTCGGAGGAATGGAAACGTGGCGCTCGCTACAAATTCGCGCCCATTCCTCGGAGGGAAACAATAAAGTCTGTTCTCCAACAATGCAGTAGTCGCGTTCCTGAGGAACGCCGCGTGATGGAAACATCGCGTTATAATAATTAATATAGGGGAAAACGCAATCCGCGATAACACTGTGAGATGCGTACGCAGGCTGAACAAAGTGCCGAGGTGCATGGGTAGCATCTAGATGCATCCAGCAGCATCCCAAGGCTTATTCCCACTCGCGCGACGTAGTCCTGTTCACTCGATCACGTTATACCCAATTCGGGTCGTAAAAAAAGTGTTCCCTGTGAAACATTCATCATCGCGTTCTATTCAATTTGCGTCATGAAAACAACACACTGTGTTATAGGAGAACAGACTGTAAATACTGTACGTGTCTCCGTGGCCCAATATCCATATGTTGTGCATTATCCGTGTTGAACTCGTTTTATCCAGGAAACCCCTCGGTTGCCAAATGCGCCACATGATCAGGTGTTGGCAGTCGTAGTTTTTTTAAAAATTATAATCTTTAGACTGGAGGAATCCGATGAGCAACGAAGCTCTTCCTAACAGACGTCCATCGTCAACGTAATGACTTGTGATCTTTTTTTTTTTAAAGCCGTGAAAGATAATTAATCGCTCTGCCGTTTCTCTCCACCCCACAGACGCTCAGAAACAGTTGGATAACATCAACGTCACCGTATCCAACATCCGGAGAGATATCTTCGACAAGTTTTTACAGTCCGACTTCAGTGTTCAAATCAATACCATAAACACCAGCATCACTCCTGTGCTCAACCAGTTTCCAGATTACGAGCACTACCGGTGAGTCGCACACACTCACGACCCCTTGAGAAGATGAGTTTAGGTTTAATTTTTGGCATGAAAAAAAAGACGTCTGTAAATTTAATTGAATCTACCGTTGTGTGAAGACATCTTTCCACGCTGCCGTGTTGATCATGGCGGTTGTTTGGCCATGCTTCACCATGCTGAAAGGAGGGGGCCTCGAGACCGGTTCAGATGTCGCTCGCCACTGATGTTAGTGGGAATCAAACTCAGGCTTCTGGCTTTATAGCTCGGGCCGCTTGGGCCCTGTCACCGCGAACATCGCGGGCCACGTCACCACTGCTAAGACGCGTGAATACAAGTATGGTACCGTGTCCTCAAATTTATTCTCCGTGGCTCTGCATGAATACAGATCCGCCTCAGCTGTCGCCATTCAGATGTTAATGTATTATTATGATTGTTGCTATGCATTCATTCGGGGTGGTGATGGCGGTTACGAAAGCCACGGCATCGACCCCATGCAAATGACGACTTTGGTGTTCTCTCACTCGACGCACGTTGCCAGCTGTGTCTGCATGAACGGCTTCGCGTTCTTGGCGAACGCTTCCTATGACCATGAAGTCACAGACACCTGTGACCAATTGACCCCGGAATGTACCTGACCTCGTCAGATCTCCGAAGCTAAAGCAGGGTGGAGCCTGGACAGCGCTTGACTTGGCTGGATGACTACCTTCCGATATAGCCAGTAGAGGGTGGAGCAGCAACATCCACTGTTGGTCTATACTGCTATGCTTCTGCGCCTGCGCTCCCTGCCTTCACCAACCCCACTTTGAACTCATCAGTGTGGTGAAAAATGGTCAATAAACCCTTGCGACCGATCCAGGCGTGGGAAGGCCCTCGTCCAGCATCCATCATTGGGAAGATCACTGGGAACAAAAAATGGGAACATGCAGGGTTTAGGAAAGGTTTTCTCTACCATTGACCACATTAACGCTATCAATCGTATTCCGTAAAAGACCAATAAATATCAGATATCATTGGACTGACAAAAGCTGTACGTGCGCGTGTAGAAGCTCCCGCCGGATTAGCGGAGTGGCGCCGCAATTTTGACGTTTATTCTCCTCCGTCCGCTCACGCACGTGCGCACACACACACACGTGCGCTCACACACGCGCACACACGCGCACACACGCACACACGCACACCCACGCACACACATGTATACGCGCACACACATGCACACATGCACACACACGTACACGCGCACACACATGCACATGCGCACACAGATGGATCGCCGGCGTGGTACTCTGCTGCATGATACTCGCCATCTGCCTCATGAACATCCTGGGCCTGCTGTTCGGCACGTGTGGCTACGACAGAAATCGGAGTCCCACCGACCGCGGCTGTGCCTCAAACTGCGGGGGATCCTTCCTGATGGCGTGAGTCCTCGTATTTGTATTTTTCCTGGGTTCACCGTCGAGCAGAGACAATTCGTCAATTAACGTGATTTAGTTGATTAAAAACACTACGATTATTTTCTATTGTGGTTGATTTATATGGACCCCTTAACAACGCTGGCCACCCCCATATCCTGCCTCTTGAAGATCAGAACTCCCCCCCCGCCCCCTCCGTAAGCCACTGCTCAGCGCGACACAGCTGATTGAGTTAACATTTCAGCACTTGGCTTTATTGTAGCAATACGAGTCCTATTTTTTTCTCTCAATAATTTTTCTTTTTTCCAGAAAGTGCATGTGGTGCCATAATAAATAATAATAATACTGATGTTTATGTTTGTATCGCGTTGTTCACGCAAATTGCGGCGCCCTTAGATTTCTTGGCAAAACCAACTGAGTCGCCATTTCTGCCGCCCTCTTCCCACCCTCTCCCCGTCGCTGTAGCTCCGTTGGCCTCAGCTTCATCTTCTCGTGGATCCTCATGATCTTGGTGACGATTCTCTTCTTTTCCTTCGGGAACGTCCACAAGCTGCTGTGCGAGCCCCTTGCCAGCAAGGATTTCCTGAAGGTGCGTTGTGCATTCACCTTTCTAATCAATCATGCTTTCATGATAATAATAATAATGGTGAGATTTAAAACCACCGAAGACCAAATCGCCCGGAATGCACCCAATATCGTCAGATCTTGGAAGCTAAGCGGGTTTAGCCTGGATAGTTTTCGGATTGGCGACCACCACGCATGAAACAGGTGTCATATGTTGACAGTCTGTGTTGTAGAAAAATCTATTTGTGCTGTACTTATGCTTCCACTTCCATGCTCCCAACTTTTACCGACCTGCACTGACCAACATGGTGAAGTACGGTCAAATATCCCTCCACACAGATCTGCACATTGTGGGAATAAGCGGGACCCAGGGCCGGATCAAGGCACGGGGGGCTTTAGGGGCTGCAGCCCAGGGGGCCTCTGCCAGCTGGAGAGCCTCCAGAGATGAAGTGAAAAGTTATTTCACTTGTGAATGCTGAATTCTATTTGTTGTTAATCTTGTAAAAATAAATGTTATTTTTTATTTAACTTTGTTTTCCTTTTGAAAATATTACTGTGGGCTTCACAGTACCTGTAGCCCAGGGGCCTACAAAATCTTAATCTGGCCCTGGTGGGACCCTAAAATAAAATGAAATAATTCGATAAAATGCATGGAAAAATGGAGCCTTTGCCACTTTTGGACGAGCAACCCTCTAGATAGAAACATTTTTGATGTGTTTAGTTTGTTGTCCTTCCCTTGCACCTTCAATTAGCATGGTAAACTGCATACGGTGCGAAAGAAGTTCATCATACATACATAACCGTTGAGAGAAGTGCATCATACATACATAACCGTTGAATGAATCTAATTATTTGTAACTGGTTTGGTCAGCACTGTTTCCAAGTATAACGCAGAAGCAATGTCATTCCATGTAGCAAGGAAGATCACGAGCAAAGTAAGCATTTAGCAATGTATGTGTTGATTTATTATCTTTGGAAACATGGCATAAAAATGTGGAGGCATATGTTTGGTGATTGTGACAATCAAACAAAACACAGCAAGCCACAAGTGTTTCTTTGCTAAGAAAACCATTTGCCAGATGTTTTTAAAATATATTTTGTTGATGTTTTTTATTATTATTTACGTAAACTTTTTTTTATATTCCCCGCAGCATGCATAGTCAATCGGCAGGGCGTGTTGTAGTGGAGTAAAGTGTCGGTGATCCTTCCTCTTCCAAGACATTTTGTCAGCATGGAAAAGTTGGCCAAATAACCTCTAAGGGGGGGGGGCTCTCTAGAGGGGGTCTTTAAAACACCTTCTTGACGCCACCGCTCCTCCAGCAGTGGCATTGAGCAAGGAATCACAGGGCTGAACCTTTACCTTTGTATGGTATTGTAGGTGTTTTTTTTTTTAGCCAATGCTGCTGCTATTTTCTCTGTTACTCGAGAACAAATCTGAAAGGCAAGATATATCTCTGGACTAGTTTTGTATCTTTATTTCTCTTGCTTAAACATATTCAGCAAATAAATAAAGTTGTACGTACATATCCTCCGCAACTCCCCTTTTGCTGCTTTTGGTTTTTGTGTTTTAGTTTGCGGACTCGATGGCATTTCCAGGAATCCCTACGGGAAACGGCTCTGTCATTCTACGGCTGCTCAACATGAGCGGCAACGTGAGCACGCTGGACATCTACAAGTGAGTGTGTGTGGCAGCGCGCGCCGTCCAGCGTAGATGCTCCGCGTGAGCACGCTGGACATCTACAAGTGAGCGTGTGCGCGAGTGTGTGAGTACGCCCGTCCCGCCCCCTCCACGGCCACCGCCACTCGCCGCGTCGCCGACCGTTCGCCCGCCCGCCCGCCCGCGCGCTCGCGGGAAAAAAGGGCACACCGGTCGCTTCGGGAGAATTTTCTTTTTAAACGCCGGACGCGCGTCTTTTTTTTGGGGTCGTGCCGCGGCGTAGTTCGGCTAGCCCGTGTCTCCCCACGTGTCAATCCGCCCTCCGTCGGGAACCGAATCGAGCCGCTCGCCTTCTCCCTCGATTTGTACGGCGGCGTCGGCCGCTGCCCGGTACCGATGATGAGCCGGGCACGGCGGCGGCAGCGTCGGAGAGCCGAGCCGGTCGGCAGAGTCCGGCGGCAGCAGCGTCCGCCGCCGATGCTTCGTGACCGAGGGAGAAAGTTGAGTCGGTGAGTTCAGTTCTTGGCGAGGCTGTGCCGGCACGTGGATCAAAACGTCGGACATCATGCCGAGCATGTCGGAGTTCGCTGCCGTTCACTGCCCGTGTCGCGGATAAATTGACAGCTGTTGTCTCCTTCTCCAGTGGCTGCACTAAGAACGGTGGCACTTACAGCGTGCTTCATTTGGAGACGCAGTACAACCTCGACAACTACCTGAACATCACGAAGGTAGTGATGAATGTTTTTTTGTGCCGTGTGCATTCGAACAGTGAGTGGGCGGTGGGAATTGGAACGCCCGTCGATCACAATTCTGCTACGAAAATGGAGTGACATTTTGTAAACGGGGGGGGGGAGGGGTTTGGGTAGGCCTATTGTTGTACTTGTGTCTGGTTCATGATTTTATCGAGGGTTATTTTTCATACTCGTGGTCGAAAAATGTGAGGGTACGATACAAGTTGGTCCCGCGAAATCATTAAGCTAACATTTATAAATACTGTACAGTATTGAATCGGGTGATTGTTTATCATTTGCTCCACAAAGACCAGAATTGGTTGGTGAAACTAAGTCAACATCGACGTTTAATGTTTTTCTACCATCAAGTCAGTGTGATGGATGGCTACCACGTCGTTGTTAGTGTGTAATAAGTATCGCTCTTGTTAACCCACAGTATGAGGCGGATCTTAATAAAGCACTGGAAAAGATGAACGTGTCATTCAGTGACATCAAGCTTCTGAGTGCCACAGGGCAGCAGAGCTTAACAAACTTCTCTGACAATGGCTTGAACAACATCAACTTTTCCACATTTTTCACAGAGGTAAGTTATTGTTCATTTGCTTCATGAACCATGTGAGAGTGTGTTCCGTTATTGTGTATTGTCAGCGACGATACGTACAACAGAAGCATTGACATTGATACAAATAAAATAAAACAAGCTGCAAAGTTCATATTCTTAGCTCTTCCGGTAAAGTCAAGTTGAAGGGAAACAATAAAGTAATAAAATATATTTTAATAAAAATATATATTTTATTATTTTATTGATAATAATATATATATTTTAATAAAATATATATTTTTTTATATTTTAATAAAATATATACTTTATTATTTTATTGTTATATATTTTAATAAAATATATTAAATAAAATATATATATATTTTATTTTTTCCCTTCAACGTGACTTTACCGAAAGAGCTAAGAATATGAATTGCTGCAGTCACGAAAGCTTTAAATCAAAATTTAAGCTGCAAAGTGTTCCAAGAAGCACGGAGAGATGCGTGCCAGGAATGACACTAAGCGAAATAAACAGCAACACGTGGATGTGGGAACTAATCAGAAGAAAATATATTGATAAGGAAAGTGAGTTGGTTTGCCAGGGCACACCGCTAGATGGGTTGGTGGCCCATGGATTGTACTGGTGATGGAATGGCAGCCAAAGGTTGTCGTTTGATGGGACAACAACCGCTGGAGTGGAGTGGTAATGTTGGTTCATGCACAGGAGGGACTTGGATTGTGGTATCGCAGGTTTTCCGAGGTCATTGTAATCCCAGCCTCGTAGCTCAGCGGTAGTGAGTAGCGAACAAAGTTCAGATACTGCTTGGGGGTTGACTCGGCCCATCATCCCTCCGGGGTCGATCAAATTTGCACCGCTTTTTGGAGAGGTCAAAAGTGGTCGTGGTATGGATAGAATCAGGAAATCACTTTTAATTTGGCTTTTGATGATGATGACTAGAAGAGAGTACGTTGAATAAACTGCAATTATAATAGCTTTTTCAGGATCATAATATTTATTTAAAACTGGAGGAATCCGATGAGATATCAAGCTAATTTTCACAGATGTCCAGTAGGGGTGCGTTCGACAGTTACAATGACAGACGATACAAAAACACGATATGAGTGCAAAATATAGGGTAGGTAAACAAAGAGCTGAAAAAAATTCTGAATAAGTAAAATTAAACTTTTAAAAAAAATCTTACCAGGTAAAGCCCACTGAGCTATTAGCTTATTCACACACACAAACACACGTCGTTGGCGACGAAAAACGCAACGTATCGTCGCGCTACACGTGCGTCGTGTACGCACGGTCACAGTGTCGCGATCTCTTTTTCCATCCGCAGATCGACAAGGGCGTGGTGAAACTGAACTTGTCTCAATTCGCGATGGAGTTGAGAAACATCTCCAACAACGTAAGTGTAACAAGAGCGCGGTTGGAGCGTTACGGGTATTTCATTTCGAATTGTCGCCCCCCCCCCCCCGCCCCTTGTAATCGCCGTAGTTATTGTAACAACGGGCATGCGCGTTGTGTGGTTTTCACGTTGGCGATGCGCCCGTTGCTAACGCAGTTCTTTTGATTTCGGCAGTCTAACATTACCGACTCGGCAAATAATCTGGAACGGATGGACAGAGAACAAGTGGTGCCCTTGCAAGGAAAACTGGTAATGAATCTGGATTGTTGTTGTTGTTGTTTTGCTGCCTTGCTCAAGCTCACATTTGGTGTTGACAAATCTGCAGGAATTTATCTACTCGTGCAATTTGTACTTTAACACGTAGTAGGCTTTCGTGACCAATATTATCCATAATAGAGGTTAATTTGGGTTAGATCACGCACTTCTCTACCTTATTTACATTACACTCACTTGCTCCTGATTGTTCCCTCCATGGGCATACTTTTCATTGGCGGCCCGTGACATGTCCACTAGGTGCGGCTGTTGTGAGTGACCTCTGAAAAAGATGGCGTTCTCATTAAGACGAACCTCGTCATGTTATTGAAAGTGAAAAAAACTGTCTTATCTACCAACGGTAGGCATTCATAAACAATATGAAACAAAACAACAAAGCGCTCAAATACTGTCCCCATGACCCTTAAGTCCACACTCCGCAACGCCTTTGACACTGCCAAAAGCCGTGACACTACTATTATTAAACAGCGCAACCATGCGTCGTGACATCGTCTCTCATCACAGCCACGGGCGCCTTCTCACCGCCCCGAATGTCTCTCAAACGGCGTGGCTACAATGCTAGCAGCTGCTAATCGCAACGACTGAAGGAGGAAATCTCTCACTCGGACGCCTTCACAGCCGCCCCGAGACCTCCCCCAGGCACAAATCAGACTGTGGTGTTGCAGCGGTTTCTAATATGAACTACTTAAAATGTTATCTTCATTAGGCAATTCACGTTGAAATAATAATTATGTATATTTAAACACAACAAAACAATTTATAGAAAAGTATTTTTTTTATTATCAAAATGATTCTCACCTCCAGATGCTTGGTAGGGCGGTACCTCAATGCCCCTAGCGGACGAACCGCGCCTGATACTTTCATAAACATTTATAACTTCTCAATTTGTTTGAAACCACTTTACGTGAAATGAATACGTTGCTTTATCCCGCTATATTTTATAGAATATTCCCATTAGCTAGTTTTTATGTTTATTTTTTTCTAAAACGAGGTGTTGTTGTCTAGTGTATCATTAATTGGTGGTATCTGCCGATTTGTTTCTGTGACTGAACTGGATCTGATGAACAACTGCCCTCTTGCCAACTCCCCGATGCAAATGAGATGTTGATCCCATAGATTTATTCTCGTTGTATTCAAATGTAATTAAAATAAGTGAATATACACATACAACTACTAAACGGGATTTTTGTACCCTTTTAACAGGACGAATTGAAAAGAAGCGTCGAATATTTAAAGGACGAGGCTAATAAAACAAAGGTACGTTGTTGCGTGTCTTTTGCAGCTTCTAGTTTAACAGAGTTATCAACAACTGTAACATTATGGGTGGCTGGATGGGAATGTAACAAATAAGAAAAGGGTTTACCCTTTCTGGCAATAAAAGAGGCGTTAAGTGCCCTGAGAACGATTGTTTAAGGGCGCTTTATGCATCTAAATTATTATGTTCAAACACCAAATGAATACATTTTTAAAGGAATCAAGTCTGCATTAACCACACATACTTCAACATGCAAACATACATGCTTTGCTGACATATGCATCGTCTTTGAAACGAATTGGCCTGCGCCAGAGACAGCCTGCCAGAAAGGGTAAAACCTATTCTTATTTTTCATACTTTGATATTTGCAAAAAGGTTTCCATGATATGGGTGGGGGTGGTTGAGATTCAGTAGCGTGGTTAGCGTTGCAAACTATGCAATGAGAGAGACCCCACTTTCCAATTCCTTTCCCCCCTTTGTAGCCTCACTTCTGTGCCACTGCAGCCCATGGGTTTTGGTACAGATGTTACGGACTGCACATTAGATAGCTACGTCACTGGTTGAATTCCATGCCCCAAGGGTAATGAATGAGAATGGTCAATCGATTGGCATTGGCGGCCTGTGACTTTTAAGCGTGAGTCTCCTGTGTTAGGAGGGGGTGAGGTTCAGAATTCGCATCGGAGCGGCCACAGCATGCTCACTAGTCCATCAGGTAGTCAGGTTTTTTAAAATTAAAATAATGTAACAATTATAAAAATAAAATAATAATAAAACTGCTTAAAGTACAGCAGGGAGCTGTCCAGCTGCACCCATGACACCAGCTCACCCATTCCCCAAGCACCTCTGGTTCTCTGGCCCAGCGCCCTTTATATCAGCGGAGGGCTCTCTCTTAATTAATTAGTAAATCCAGCTGTTCCCCAATTACCTCACTCCCTGAGGAGTGTGCCACACCGCCAAAGCAAATCATCCCGGGTGTGATATCCACATACCCAACGAAACCAGCTCGCGCCCTCAAACCCCACACAAAGTAATCACCTCCAGCCATCTTCACAGGCGTGGCCACAGATCAGAACACCTGTATCAGGTGAGGCTCATTGCAGTCACCGAGCTTAGCGATGAGTCGCTAATATGATTGTGCCGGCTCGGACAAGGAACGCCCGTCTAAAACTGCATAGGATGAGCTTGCTTATCGCTGGGCTGGTACATACAGACATCCCACCAAAGACGCAGGATTGGAACAAATGAGCGTCACCCCTATAATAATCTCATGATTTGTTAAGATTCAGCCTGGAAATAAGATTAAAGAATTATGGGGGGGGGGAGGGAGATCCTTACGTCTCTGTGGAGGTGTCATTACTTAATGATAGTACCATGTAAATGGGCTCTAATTAGATGGTCAATTAATACAAATTATAACAACATTGATCATGTGAATGTATATAAGCAACACATGCAAACAAACAAAAAAACCTCCTTAACTTTTTCACAAGTCGAACAAAATGACAATAAAATAATTTTCCCGAGCTTTGCAGATTAAGTACCAAGTCATATCGAGCGTTCCGAAGGTGATTGACTGTCAACTTATCTGGCCCATTAACGCGGCTACATCCCAAAATGTTATCTCGAAGTCAGGAACAGATACCCGTACTTTGGCGAGAAGGGGAGGGAGTGTGAGGATTTAGATGGCGGTGGATACCACGTTGCATCATTGACGGGAGGCTCACCGGCGTTGACTCGAGAGCCCGAGAGGATGCTGGCTGGTGAGCTGAAGCTGCGCGTCACAATTCGTGGGACGTGTGACACCCACAGTTGGATTGACTCGGTTTGAGGCGTGCATGGAGGATCACGCGCTGCCTGTACTTTGATGGTAGAGAGGACAGGTGAGAGGCAGTCTCTGGAGTTGCGATGAAACATGTACGTACAGGATTGAGTTTGTGTGTGTGTGCGTGCGCGCACGAGTTAACCACCTGTTATCTTTGCAGGTTGAAGTTGGCAACATAATTGATGACTTTCGAAAATTTGAAAAGAGTCTCAATGAAAACGGGTCCCTGCTTATTAATGCGGTAAGACAATCGTGCGTGACGCAGACCGTTCATGATTTTAATCTTCCAATTCAACCAACTCTCTTTCCCTTGGGGGTGGATGTCCCCTTTACAGTGGCAAGGATAATAACTTACGACAGGGGGCCCCATTCGCATATTTCCGAATGTTCCTTTTCGTCCGGATTTTCGGACGAAACCGTGCCAATGTTCCCATCACCAACGCTGGGGAAACTCACCAGGGCGATGTGATGAAAGGTGTCTAGCGTCGCCGCTAGTGTGGAAAAAGTGCGACATTGTAACCGGACGGTATTGGCTGAATCACTTTGACTTTGAAGAGCATCGTCGCTGTTGTTTTAATGGGTGGTCCAATCACAATCCCCACTGTGGGCCATAAGTAAGCACCCTCAATTACAGCGATCCCTTTAACGGATGCTGATTTAAGTCGACCCACTTTCCGTCTGCATTGTCTACGGGTCGTGCCGCGCGTTGTCCGACGTTTTATTCCACGTGCCGGAAACTTCTTCAGGAACTGGCGGCATGGAGAGGTTCACGTTACCACCTCGATTAGATATGTCGGCCAGCCTGATGTTCATTGGCTGCCACTTGTGCAGAGATGCTCAGCCCCAGCACTTACGCATATGTGGTGAAAGCCGCATACATTGGTGCATCATATAATCTTTGTCTCAAATTGACAACTGACTTCACAGCAGTCGTGCTGGATGAACATTTTAAAAGTATGTGTTTAAAAAAAAAACAAACACTAAACAAACTGCAGTGATTAATATATCATTGTCATCTTTTTTTGTTTTTTTAATAAAGACGGTTGAAAACCTCCTTGGCACTGTCAGAAGTCTACTAAGAGATTACATTAGCTGGTCGAGGGATATGGTAAGTGTTTTTATTATTATTGTTTAATTATCTTAGAACGTTTAAAAACATTCTACATCTCCACGTGCGTGCATCGCATCAAATAGTGATCCATACACCCCAACAACAACAACAAACAACAACAACAGCAGACGCCATTTGCCAGCAAGCGGCGGTGATGTTCCCACGGCGCTTGCACCCGGCCACTTGGAGGTCACGTGAAGAGCTGAAGGCTCGCTGGCAGGAGGAGGTCGCCGAACAGACCCAGGTGTTGTGGGTGAACTTTACCGAGACGACTGGCAGGTGCTGCACCTCCCGTGCTCCCCACGTGAACAACAACGCCCCAAGCACCACAACACATGCAGGCGTTCATCGTCTGCGGCACATTATCTTTCACGACTGGAGATGATTTCACACGTTGAATCTGTTCTCTCCACTAAATGCGATCGAATTGTAATAATTGTTTAATTAATTACATGTATTTATCGAGCAAAGCCTCGTGAGTCACTAGATTCTTTTTTTCAAGATGGAGGTATCCTGCTTTACACTACTTGCTTATTTTCCTTAGCTGTTTGGAGTTGTTCAGACTTACCAATGCATTCCCTGCACCGGCGTATCGCCTGTCACCTCCCAGTGCCTCGTGCTCACGAGCCGAGCGTTGATTTTCACAGCGGAACTTTTGACTTTGACGCGAATATTGACACAGACAAGTGATCCCGTGTCCCCTAGGTCATGAACAAGCTGGCGCCGTGCAAGCCTCTGGCGAACTTGATCGACTCCATCGAGTTAATTGGATGCAAGTACCTAGTGAACTCGATGGTAAGCAAAGTGCGACGTGATAAGACCGTGTTCTTCACTAATTTTCAGAGAAGGGGGGGGGGTATACCTTTGCCGATAAGACATCACCAGTGTGAGAGGGTCACCCCTCATCGTGACGTCACGATGGGGGGTGTTTTCACTCTGTGTGTGGGCCAGTGGGCCCTCGGGCCTTGCAATGAAGGACACTGTTATAAGAGATCAAGGTTTAGCCCAGAAATGACTCGCTTACACAGCTCATGGTGGGAATCGCTTCGAGTAGAGGAACCCCCTAGAGGGTATTTGACCAACTCTTCCACACCGATTAAACGTCGGGGAGGAAGTCGGAGTGCCCCACTCTTCACCCCGCCGCACATGACCCGCCAATCGATGCAGCTGTGCTGCGCCCATTTAAACTGCTGGGTGGATCGAGGCGAGGGGATTTTTAGAAAGAGTCGAAACCGGGTGACCTCTGGATCACAACTCCAGCGAGCCAGCCACGGTACCACGGCAGTGCCAACAGCGTGACAGGGTTGCGGTCCAAATGTGTGACGGTAGATACATCCATCTGCCGTTGTTACAGCACAGTTGTGTTTGGTGTGTAGTGTCTACATTTCCCGATGCTTATGTGCTCATGTGCGTACGTGCTTTATACACTCTTACACTTTCGTACATACTTATCATCCAGTTGCATGTGATCCCAAAACAGCTTGGAAGATCGTGCCTTGAAAGCGGTGAACACTACATATATTACGCGTAGAGTTGCAACTGCAGTGGACTTGCACATAAATCAGTGGGTTCATAATTTTTATTTTTTTATTTTGAGTCCACAACGTTTGCAGATTTTTTTTATGGCATTTCATAAGTGAACCTGCAGATCGTCTCACCTATTTCAGTTACCACCATTACAGTACGTGTCTTCTTTTTTTCCTGTGTGTTCTAGAATTCGTTCTGGTTTGGCCTGGGCTGGGCCACCATTTTCCTCATCCCCAGCGTGATATTTGCTGTGAAACTCGCCAAGTTCTATCGCCGTATGGACACAGAAGACGACTATTCAGAGTGAGCACGGTCTTTAGTCTGGGGTTTCTGTGTGTGACACATTGCTGTAAAGGGCTTTCACTTGCAAAGCATTAAAGTCAAAGTGATTTCTTACATCCCTGAGCCATCGGTGGAAGTTCCACATTCCTGTGGCAGGGGCAAGTATATCCATAGGACAAGCACAATTGATGTCCCCACAAAGTGGTACCAATTTGATCAACCCCAGAAGGATGATTGGTTGAGATCTGTTTTAGACGATTCAAAAAGTGAATTCACAAGCTAAAAGTTGTAGCAAAAAGAACCCCAATATAACGTAACATTAAAATGTCATATTTTATCACCATCAGACCCGTTAATTCTTCAGCTCACAAATTACCACGTGCAAAAAATGGCTACAATGGGAAAAAAATGGCTTAATACTCTTCCCACCGCAAGGTAAGTGTTTGCATCTGACATGTCAAGTTCACCTCTCTTAGACATGGAGCATGAGGTTCCACGTGTCATCCGTGATAAAACACGGAGTGCCTCGAATTGAAACGCATCCCGCGCTCATGCACACGAATCGACACAGACGCGGGGGGTTCTGTGCATGCGTATTTTTTACTCGCTAACAGCACTTGCCCCCAACAGTCTACTAAGGCTCTATGGGGGATCTTTGTCTTTGTTATCTTTAACTTTTTTCGCACCACCGTACGTAGCCAACCGTGCTCATCGGTGGTGCGGGGAAGGGACGAACTAAACACAAAAAAAGCAGTTCCAAAGAAATTAGTTTTCAATCTAGAAATGGGTCATCGCATCCTGGGACGTTGTAGCGGTCACTGGCGCCCATTTCGTTAATTGCTCTGCATTATAACCGTGGCTGCTTCGCGATTTTCTTATTCACCGTGTCTAAGGAAGTTTTGTTTTCCTCTTGCTAAACGTGTGTTCATCACTCGGTGAACTTAACATTTTATTTTTCTTCTGTCCTCTCTCCTGCATGCCTGTGGCTTGACCTGCTCATCAGTGACTTCGACTGGAACTAATGTCGCCGGCTCCAAAATAGGCCTTTTTGTTGTCGCTAATGAATTATTGTGGCACTCTGCCCTGCGCGTCTGAGACGACTGGGTGGTTCCTGTGGATTGGTGCTACCCAAGCGTTGTATGATTGTCTCCATAGATAATCAATGGACTGTTACTGTTGAGTGGAAGTCCTGAGTTGAACTGCGTCGATGATTGGCCCCTGATTGCTAATCCACGATCTGTGAGGGTGAGTGGCGTAAATAGGGGCCCATCTTGATGGCAATGTGATTATTCGAGCGCAGTGCTGTCTCGGGTGGTAATTTTCACACGCAGTTAAATGTAATTCCTGATGGTTCCTCTTTGTTCTTTGCTTCAAGCAGCTGATAACTCGCATGGATGAATCGAAGATCTAATGGGGGAGACAAGATTCAGCACACGTTTTGAATACATTCAAATTTTACTTGACCAATTACGAAAGATCGTATGATGATACAAATCATTAAATAATGTTGAATGTAATAAAATTGTATGCCATCACATGTGGATTTCCATGAATGTAGCTTGTACAGTCTTTTCAGCTTGTACAATGTCCATAAAGTGATGACACACTTTGTTGTTCACGAGTAGAATACCATTATTACTTTGAATGCCAACGAATAGTATAATAAAATAATAATTACAGTACAACGTCGCATATCTGACTTGCTGGAGACTGAGCTGTAGGCAAGTGAATGTGAAAAGCTCATATTTGTGAACTTATGAAAATAACCCTTACACCATAATTCCTGCATTGGGTGTTAATTGGTCAAGGCCGATATGTGACGTTTTACTCTATAGCAATTGAGTAAACTATTCAGACAGCCCTGCGTATGACAAATCTTAGTGCTTTATTATTCCTGCTTCAGGTTAATGTTTTCCTGTCGTTGCGTCCGTCCTGTTGGATTTTTTTCTGCGGTCGTGATACGTTCGTGATACGTTCGTGATACGTTCGTTCTTTGTGCTTGGGTTTAGCCTTCATAATAGAGAGAAAATAAATACCCACCCCCCCTTTTTTTTACAATGTTTGGAAAAGGCATTAACGGCCAGCTTTGTAACACGTAGGCTTTCGCGACCAATATTATCCACAATACAGGTTTCTGGGGGTGAGATCGCGTAAATATAAATGTGTCGTTAAACCCGCCACCACCCGGCGAAGCCATTTGGTAAGGTTTGTCACGTAAACAGAACATGCAAATTTGTTACTTGCCATTGTCAGCAACAACATGTGATATCTCTCATCGTAGTAATAACATCGTGGCATGTAGGGAAAGCAGCACAGCGTGGCCTGCCAGCTTTTAAAGTCACAGGAACTGTGTTTGCGCTGCATCACGAAATGCGCGCGCGCGTTATAGATGATGTGGGCTTATGTTGTGGACAACAGCGGGCAGTGCAGCAGAATACATTGTACTGTACTGTGCTCTTTCTGTTCCCACATCTACAGTATACCCGCCCCCCCCCCATCTTAACAAACCTGCAATGACCAGAGAGGTGAAGTATGGTCGATAACCCATCAACAAATCGCATGGTGTTAGGGAAAGCCCTCGCCGAAGCAGCGGATCGACACACGAACTGTTCACGTGTACACATACAGACTGTTCACGTGCACACATACCGACTGTTCACGTGTACACATACTGACTGTTCACGTGTACACATACTGACTGTTCACGTGTACACATACAGACTGTTCACGTTTACACATACTGTTCGCGTGTACACATACTGACTGTTCACGTGTACACATACTGTTCGCGTGTACACATACTGACTGTTCACGTGCACACATACCGACTGTTCACGTGTACACATACTGACTGTTCACGTGTACACATACTGACTGTTCACGTGTACACATACAGACTGTTCACGTGTACACATACTGTTCGCGTGTACACATACTGACTGTTCACGTGTACACATACTGACTGTTCACGTGTACACATACAGACTGTTCACGTGTACACATACTGTTCGCGTGTACACATACTGACTGTTCACGTGTACACATACTGACTGTTCGCGTGTACACATACTGACTGTTCACGCGTACACATACAGACTGTTCACGTGTACACACACATACTGTTCGCGTGCACACATACTGACTGTTCGCGTGTACACATACTGACTGTTCACGTGTACACATACTGACTGTTCGCGTGTACACATACTGACTGTTCACGCGTACACATACAGACTGTTCACGTGTACACACACATACTGTTCGCGTGCACACATACTGACTGTTCACGTGTACACATACTGACTGTTCGCGTGTACACATACTGACTGTTCACGCGTACACATACAGACTGTTCACGTGTACACACACATACTGTTCGCGTGCACACATACTGACTGTTCACGTGTACACATACTGACTGTTCACGTGTACACATACTGACTGTTCACGTGCACACATACAGACTGTTCGCGTATACACATACTGACTGTTCACGTGCACACATACTGACTGTTCGCGTGTACACATACTGACTGTTCGCGTGTACACATACTGACTGTTCACGTGTACACATACAGACTGTTCGCGTGTACACATACTGTTCACGTGTACACATACTGACTGTTCACGTGCACACATACTGACTGTTCACGTGTACACATGCTGACTGTTCGCGTGCACACATACAGACTGTTCACGTGTACACATACTGACTGTTCACGTGTACACATACTGACTGTTCGCGTGTACACATACTGTTCACGTGTACACATACTGACTGTTCACGTGTACACATACTGACTGTTCACGTGTACACATACAGACTGTTCACGTGTACACATACAGACTGTTCGCGTGTACACATACAGACTGTTCACGTGTACACATACAGACTGTTCACGTGTACACATACTGACTGTTCACGTGTACACATACTGTTCACGTGTACACATACAGACTGTTCACGTGTACACATACAGACTGTTCACGTGTACACATACTGACTGTTCGCGTGTACACATACTGACTGTTCGCGTGTACATATACTGACTGTTCACGTGTACACATACAGACTGTTCGCGTGTACATATACTGACTGTTCACGTGTACACATACAGACTGTTCGCGTGTACACATACTGACTGTTCGCGTGTACACATACTGACTGTTCACGTGTACACATACAGACTGTTCACGTGTACACATACTGACTGTTCACGTGTACACATACTGACTGTTCACGTGTACACATACTGACTTCGCGTGTACACATACTGACTGTTCGCGTGCACACATACGTACGGACTTCTAGTGGGCCAGGTGCAGAGGCATTGTTCATATTCAGCTCGCTTTTGTCAATCTACTGCTAGACGAGGGCTGTCCCATGTCAGCGATAATGAAATTACCATTTGGTTTAGCGTGCAATCATGCGTTTCATGTATTCGTAGCAATGCATTGCACGGTTGATGCCTGTCCTTTTGCAAAGCCTTCGGCTAAAAGGTGAATTGGGCCGCCTAGCGGTAGCGAGTTCGCCACTCGTTCTCAGCCGTCCCGAGGGTCAAATCTGTCGGCCGCCCCGATTAACACTGCGGGGTGCATTGACGATACACATGCCGTCTGCTTCACAGTGGACTTTGTACACAGAGCCCCTGATGTCTTTCGCAATTGTAGACCATCGTTGTGCCCGCTGCACGGTCCACATTTGCCAAAAAGTAACCTGAAAATTCAGCAGGTGGGGTGATACATCGCAGGTACATTACCCCTGCCCCCTATTGGGAGTTGGAACGGCTTCTGGCTGCTTGTCTGCAGTTTCTCGCGCCTCTTGTTCGACAACAAACTGCACGCGTTACGAATTGAACAGCATTGTGAGGTGAAGTTTGCATGACACCCACCACGATACCAATGTGAGAGAGAGGACCCTGAACTATGTCTACATTTGCATGGTAGCCCATCTCGTTCTTTTTACTTTTGATGGCAATATAACCGCAACTATTTTTTTTTTACTGTAAGCACACCGAATATGACATGGGTGGTCGTGAAAACGAGTGAAACTTATGACTTGCTTTTAATATCTTATTTTTTAATGTAGGAACCCCGATGTGAATGCACTTCGTGAATAAACACACTCCATTGGCCTTAGTTAGGTGTGCTGCTGCTGGCTGGCCTGAAATGCAACGCAAAAGTTCCTCTTTTTAATTGCAGGAAGTGGCACTGTACAAAACGCAATGCGACGTTGAGCGGAACACTAAATGTAACGCATTGTGCACCATTGATTATATCATTATACAAGCAGAGTTTGGGGAACCTATTTCCTTAACCGATTGCCAAATAGCACTTTACAAAAACAACTTTGTGCAGAACTCAAATTCACGTGCACCTTGGCTAATTTCTACATATCCCCAGAGGTCCTTACAAATAATGCCACGAGACAACTGAGCAAGCGAAAAGTAGACGATGCCACGGTCAACAAAAAAATGTCCCTCCGATACCCGATTAGCGCGACCATGTAGGTCACTCAAGTGGCCATGGGCTGTACGAAATGAAGACGCGGTCCGTAGGTTGGCGTACCTCTCGAATGTTCATTACAAAGTCAAAGACCCCCCCTTATAACCTCAGCAGAAGTTTGGGGCAAGTGCTGTGTGATGCGGGTCCATTACACAGCAACACCCCCGGTCACTTGCTCGATGCAGTTCAGAGCTTGCACACCGAAGATGCCGGTGATTTGCAGAGGTTGAGAAATGTTTCTTGTACAAATATTTGTATTTTTATTATAATCTTTCAACACACACACACAACGGTTACGCAATTTATGTTGAGTTACACAACCGAACTACAGAAGAATAATTGTAATGTTTTATACCGGGTAATCTCGAAAATATGGTGATATGGGATTAGTCTGAAGGAAAATATTTTTTTGAATGATTTTTTGAAACAAAAAAATGTGATTGTACTATGATAGAATGCGGTTAATAAAACTTAATTTCTTGAATGTCAGCGTAAAGGTGAGTAAACATGTTTTAATCCGGACACAGAATGGCGTGCTTGGAATTAAATACAATTCTACAGAAATGCTGCAGTATATGTCCAGTTGCACAATTCTGGTATACTCTAACAGGCACATGCTTTTCAGATATACTTAAAAAAAAGTGTGCTGTCGTAATGTATTAGAAAAAAACGAGTTTTGCTGGCTGGAGGGAAAAAGAATCGCGCCTAAAGGACGTGTGAGCTGCTCGTATTATTTTAATACCACTACTCTGTCACTGTACAATGTTAATATCAGTGCACTCTGAACCCGCCAACCTAAGTTTGATTCCCAGCCACGGCTAAACATCATTACTAAGTGGTGTCTGATCCATTCCTGGCCCTCTTCCCTTCCTCGACTGACGTTGACCACCTTGAAGAGGCGTGTTAAATTGAACTACCACAACAACATTGCACGGGGAGGGTTTAATCCAGCAGTGGATTTTCAAATGTATAAATTATGAGTATATACTGTGGTGGTCATAGATTGCATGTCCGTAATAGGAGATTGAGGGACGATCGAGGCAAGCAACGGGGTGATTTTAGCAATAGATGCCCAGCTAAAGTTGAAATATATTCCAAAGTTTCCGACGTTAGATCTTGTGCTCCTTTGGTGCACACGTGTGCAATCACAATGCAGGTAAGTCTGAGCTTTTGTCGGGTTATTTGTTCCTGAGATCTACACTCCGTAATGTTACACATTTGATCTCAAAAGTATCGTTTAATAAACAGATATACATATATCTATGCATATTGTACGAATAATGTATTTCAATGTTATTGAGAATAAATTACACTGGTGATTAAACCGAACTGTCTTGCTGCAACGAAGCACCGGCAAGATCGAGAGCATTGTTTGGGATTGGAAGATGGGGAAAAAAAACATTAAAGTCACATCAGACGTTAAGGGATACGCCCAGGGCTTAATGTCTCGGATATTTTTTCAGAACTCTGCTAAGCTGGATTAGAGTAGGGTTTATCGGCGTAAGGCACTACCACACGATACGCCCATCCATAATAAATCCCCTCTTGCATTGTAATAGCGAACCCAGCATTCCTCAAATCGTTTGAATACGTTTGGGCCACCACTAAGAACGACTTAACATCGAGTCATAATTAGTGCACATAACTGCGTCTGCCTTCCTGCCCCGCTACACAAGGTCCACCACTGGCACGCACACCACTCAGTGCCGAATTAAGCGAGCGCGGGGCCTCTAGCACATGTTATAAAGGGCCATAAAATAACCCCATAAATATGAAACACATTTTTAACTTGCATAGTAAAGTAATTGTATTTTTTCATTTTCTATACAGCCAGATAATACGACAAATCTCTAACCTTAAACGCCCAGTCGTTTATACAAGTATAAGGCAGTATAGCGCTATAGTAATAGAGAAAGTGCAGAATCACTGAACCGGAATTGATAGCTTGAAAGCATTTAGCGTGGGGCGCCTTTGAAAGTGCAGGGCCCGTAGCTACTAGACGTGTAGTACTACTACATATGTAGGTACTTTGGTACTGGGATAATCCGTCACTGACACCACTCCAAATCAGGACACAAACTCGACGTTCCGTTTATTTCCCCTCGACGAAGGAGGCATCATCGACGCCGCCACCACCACCATTATCATCATCATCATCTTTCTTCTCATCACTCTCATCGTCCACGTCGTCGCTGAGAAGGCGAACGAGCAGCGGCTTCAACATCCCCAGGGTGAGGCTCGGCGCGTCGAACAAAAACGGCTGCGCGTGAGCCGCGTCCCCGGCTTCGGCGGCGCCCCTGACGATCTCCAGGAGCGCCTCCTCGGCGCTCGCTCCGCTCGGGCACAACTCGAAGACTCTGCGGAGCTGCGAGTCCAGCAGCCGGGTGCGCCCCACCTCGGCCAGGAACAATCGGAAGACCTCCCGTCTCAGCAGAGGGTTCCCCTTCGAGCGAACGGTCGCCTCGGTCACGGCCGTCTCGGCCTCGCGCAGCCGGAGCAGCAGCTGCAGGGCCCTGAGCACGGCCCGGGGCCGCCAGCTCGACAGCAGCAGGTCCACGTGGGCCCTGGCGGCCTCGACGGCCTCCTCTGCCCGGGGCAGGGCTGAGGCCGCCCGCTTGTACAAAGGCGCGTCCGAGGCGGAGCAGCCGGGCGCGTCGGCTGGGCTTGAGGCTCTCTGGAGATGGGCGAGGCACACGAAGGGCCGCAGCTTGTCCGGCCACTCTCGGTACAGGGCCCGGCAGGTGGCCTCGAACACCGGGAGGATTGTACGGCCGCCGGCGGCGGTGTCTGCTGGAGCGGTGTGCGATGGGTACGGGTGCAGCATCGCACGCCAGAGCTGCGCTTCGGCGAGAGTGTGCAGTGTGCCGTTCCAGTCCTGGTGGATCCCCAAGGTCTCCCAAACGGTGGCGAGGACCTCCTTTGGGTAGTTGTGGGCGAGGATGTTGAAATGGGCGATTCCGTCAGCGCTGGGGATGGTGGTGGTGGTGCTGCTGCTGGTGGTGGTGGTGCAACCAAAAAGGCGAATGACAGCCTCGCGTGTGTTGCGGGCATGATGAACGTCGTTGTCGTCTTCATGATGATGAACGTCGTCATGATGATGAACGTCGTCGTCGTCTTCATGATGATGAACGTCGTCACGATGATGGACGTCGTCATGATGATGAACGTCGTCATCATCATGTTCATCATGACGAACTTCGTCTTCATGATGATGAACTTCGTCTTCATGATGATGAACGTCATGATGAACATCGTCATCATCATGTTCATCATGATGAACATCATCATGAAGACGAAGTTCATCATCATGATGGTGATGGACACCATGATGATGATGATGGACATCATGATTGTCGTTCTCGTCACGCATCTGAAATTGCATTTGCTCGGTTGGATGTTCTAGAAGGGGAGTTAACGAGAGAAGAATAAAAAAATATTATTAAAATATGCCTAAGTAAATTGTGTTAGCTCAATGTTAAACCCCTCACCTTGTGGGACTGCAGTAAAACACAGTAAAAACATAAACATTACCGAAAGAACCAAATAAGATATACATGTTACCCTTTTTTAACCAAGCGACTGAGTATTGCACGATTTAAATATACATTGGATTAAACAAAAAAAACCCCACTACAATTAATATACTTTGTCCGATTTACAAACTCGGCAAACGTGGCTTTTAACACACGTAGACTTTCGCCTACGTCAGTATATAAACAGCAAAACACAACAGTACGGCACTGAACTGTATTAAAGTTGCACTTGCCTCCGTTGTTCGTAGCACCCTGGATGCAGGTTGTTGGCTGTGATGCTTGATCTGTCATCTTTAAGCTAAGCTGGCAATAATAGTAATAATAATAGCCAGCTGACGGCAGTTGTGCAAATACAGGGCCTGACTTGTGATACCCAAAAGGCTTTTAAGCAGTCCTGGTGTCCATCACTGTCCTTGGGAGACAAAACGGGTAACCCCCCCCTCCCCGTGGTTTCAAATGCACTGCTGTTTTTAGTCACGGTTGCTTTGTAAGTTTCCCCTTTTTGGATGACTCCCTCGGCTCAACAACACATAAACACCATCGATTAGACTTTATTTTAATATCCAGAGTGGGGGAAGATGGAAACCCCCCCCCCCTCCAACAAGAACTTGTAAGTTGTCACCCTACTCTTTGGTTCTATTCGGTAAAGTCACGAATTATTTTTTTTTTACCTACGTGACTTTACCGAATAGAACCAAGGAGTGTGAATTCTTGCAGTCACGAAAGCTTCAAATCTAGAATTAAATTGTCACCCTGTAATTGTACATCAGCTGTGTGCTTTTATAATATTTTCCGTACGGTAATATGCAGAAACTCTGTGTGGGGGAATACCAGAACAATAGTTGTGATTGTGCTAAATGAAATACATGCACAAACAACAGACATTTAGTGTGTTAACTGTATTTCACCAACTCTGACATTGAGAAAGATGTGTAGTCTCTCGCCTCGTTTGATTACAGTACAGACAAGTCATAATTTATATTTTTCAGTCGTTAAGTCAGTCCACTGCTGGATGAAGGCTTGCCTGTACCATGCTGGTTCATACGGGTTGTTTGACCATACTGGAATTCGCTGGTCAGTGCATATTGGGACACATATTTCACTCGCCACTAAATGTTATCCGTGGCGTGTGTCTTCTACTGGGATTTTGGCACACAGCGTTGGTGTACGGTGCTATTTCTGGAATATTTTGATGTTCTTTCCTGGATTTTCTGTTTGCACAGTCACATAGTCACTTTAAGATGTTTTCTTGTTCATGTTTTTGTTTTTTTGTTTGTTGTGGTAGCACCCGATTCACGAGCCGAATGGCTCACAGGGCTATACCAAAATATATGGAACTATGGAACTATGGACTACTTGTACAACTTGCTCCAACTACCTAACCTTTAGTTGTCCTTTCCCGCACCTCCAATGGCACGGTTGGCTACGTACGGTGCGAAAGATGTTCAACATACATAACACGCTTGCTTGTTTAGATTCATTCTTTGTACATTCCTGGAACCCTTTTCATAGCGATGCAAGCAAAACAACACACACCAAAAAAAAATCAAGTTGTTATGTTTATTTGTTTTCAAATATATCTATCATGATAACCATTTGAACAGTGCAAATTACAGCCAGTGTATGCATGTATTCAGACAATTCGTAAAACAACAGCAAAGTAGAACAGCACTTCTGCCTTACTCGCGTCACGTTCCTGGCTAGTACTATGTGAGTTTTAAAAAAATGAACGTGGAGCCACCGGAGCGTGTTGCTGGCAATTTTTTTGGGAAAGGAAATACTCCGTTGATGTTTTGTTGTGCAGATATGCATGTGGGAATAAAGTAGCCAGACCCACTCGAAGGCCCATATCACAATGGACCAACCACTCTTAAATTAACTAAACATTGTACACCACGTGGAGACTTGCAAACAATAGCACAGTAAGTTTCACTGATTATGAGAATGACTATCTTTACTAAAACTACCACGCAGTAGCTGTGAAGGTGAAATTCCAATACATTATTGTTAGGGCACATTTTTGTCATTTTCAACCCTGTTAATGTTATTTTGACGAATAGGGAACCCGTTGCTCTTTCCACAATCCTCCTTTAGTCGGAACACTGAAAATAATGTTTTTTTACGCCGTTATATGTCAAGATACTATGTGTTGTGAGGTTTTAAAAAATATTTTCTAGCATTTACAGAATACCCGGGTAAAACCATTACATCAGTAGGACCACACATTTTAAAGTTAGAGCAATTTTAAAGGAACCGTGTCAGCATTTTGTATTCATGACTCCCACCTGTTCTGCGTTGCTATCTATTATATATCTTATATAATTTCGACATTCCAATGCAATTCAATGTGCATTTGTTAGACGGAAAATCATGTTAGCCAGTGACCCAGCTAGCTTCCGTGGCAACGGCCAACGGCCACTAACAATCGAATTATTGTTGGGGTGGAGAGGAGCCCAGCCAGCAGCCAGCCAAGAATCTCGAGGCGTATATTATTTTAAATTTGATTGTGATGCATTGGCCGTAAGACTTAGAATATTGCGTGGTCTATCATGTGTGCTCATCTACAAATCAACATTTCACATCTTAAAGTTTAAAATACCATCCGAATCTATTTTTTTAAAAATTGAGCTGCGCGACGGCCGTCGTAATTGCAGGTCTACGTTATATATTATTGGTGTAAGTCTAACACTACGCGGCTTCATGTAAATGTGCTGCGTGAATGCGGACCTCTACGGCGTGTGGCTAAAGTGCTACACTGCTAACTGATCATTGCTCCACGAGGTGATTGCGCGGACTTAGTAATTGTACACCAAGTATTCTACGGTGTGTTCTTAATATTAAACACGTTAAGCAATGTTGCAATTTGATGTGCTTTACACTGTGCGTTTAATACATGTACGACAACTTACAACACTTTATGAATCTACTGTTGGATGAAGGTCACCCCCAACGCTGTGACAGTCCTGGGAATTGTTGGACCATATTTCACCGTTGGCGGCTTGCTTGAGTTGAAGGAGAGAGGTCTCAGATCTAATTAGCCACGAATGTTATCCGTAGCTTGGAATTAAACTCGTGGTTAGCTGTCACCACGATGGACCCGGTAGCATTACTTTCATTCGTGGCCATGGCTAACATCAGTGCCCGAGTGATGTCTGAACAGGTCTACTACCTTCATCAACCTATACTTACCAGCGTGGTGAAGTATGGTTGAACAACTGCCATGACAGACACGATGTGAGCAGCCCTTCATCCAGCAATGTATTGACAAAGCAAAGTCAAATCTAACTTAATATGCATTGGGCGACAGGGTTTTTGGTGACCTGAAGTAAGGTGATAATTTCCAGCTGCATTTCTGGTTTGATTTCACAATTGTACGTTTTAATTTCAAGAGAAAGCAATATTTACTGTACTTTACTTCCCACTGCACTAAGAATGGTGTTGATATGATAGCTAACCCTACTTCATCTGTGCCATTTGTCAGTTATCAGGGGTAAGCAGACCGGGATAAGCCATAACGTCGGCATTACCCTTCTTGAGACCAAAAAAAAAACCAGCCGAGTAAATATCAAAGCTTATTTTAGGCCCCTCATGTACTTTACAGGGTGATCCATTTTTAGAAACCCAACTGAAATAATTTATACATCTACGTATAGAGAAAACATTGTATTTCAAAGCCTCGAAACATCTTCCACCATTCTCAATAATAAACTTAAGAAATATTTTAACAGCTCTTCTCGGTAAGATACGAAGCCGTCGCTTTCATAGTATTCAATCAGCTGTTGAGAAGAGGGAAATTCTAAATGAGTAGGGTGTCTATAAATAGATCATCTACTTTTCAGGATGTCGTAAATGTATTTTAAACATGTAATGTTGTTCAGTGCTGTGTTCTGCTTCGTACACGTTGTGCCTGTTAATAACACAGTATATATTTAATTGAAGTACTTTCTTGCACATGTATGTCGTGTCTCTTAGTTTTTTTCCTCTCAAAAAGTATAAATTTCAGTTTGTTACATGCCAATTATATCGATGTTCTAACTTTGAATATTTGGTAACCTAATTTAAATTCCATACATACATGTTGGACATTCTGAGGGGATAAATCATCCCGTATATGGAGGCTAGAACATCCGGAACAAATGTAATCCAGTATACTGTTTTTGGCACACACAGAATGTATACTTGGTAACTTGGTGATATTTTTTTGTTTTAGAGGTGCTTAACAAGTTTAGACTTCTAATATAAAATATAAATGGTGTTTTGGCAGACTACCCACAAGTCCAATAAAAGCTCACTTATTTACTCATTTTTTCACCAATAGACTGCTTTTAGACAAACGCCACGCGTTTCAGAAATACCCAAACTCCACAAACACAGCCGCTTATTTTCCACCACCGACATAGACTCCAAAGAAAGAGCCCCCCACCCACCCACACCACCCCACATCCACACCAACTCATCGTCAACCACGACACAACGTCGCAGGCGCGAGACAGGCAGGAGTGGAAGGTGGCTTTCTTTGCTCGCAGTCTCGTGAAGAAGGTCTTATTTGTCATCGAGCGTCTTCGCTCATACCGTCTCGATCCAGATGATGGGGCTGTGCAGTGCGCCCGGCTGGTTGGCTGGCGAAACCTCGCGGTGTAGAGACGTTTTTTGGCAGGAGCCCAGCTGCTGCCACAAAATATAACGTTTTGTTTTCATATTGGCAGAGATAATATCATGGATAAGGCATAGCGACAGCTGGGGGCGGCTAGGGGGGGGGGGGGGGGGTTGGTGGTGGCACGACTCGTAATGTCGGCAGACCGCGTGTCGCGAGCATCCTCCGACCAGCGCATGGGCACCGATCGCACTTGGGCAGGACCTACGTGACTTCCTTGCGAACATGTGAGCGAGTGTGATAAATCGCGTGAGCGGGTACCGGTGCTAAAAATGCCAGTGTCACGTGCGCATGAACGTCACTAAACAAACCGCCCGCTGATTCGAAATTTCAACAAGCGCACTTCCCTTTTTTTGCTTTTACGGCCGACCAAACAACCAGACGGTTTGGCCCCAGATTGCCAACACCTCCGCCAAAAGCGGTGTCTCAAGGAACGGCCCGATCCGCGCGCTTGCGGAAAAATGCCCCCCCCTCCCCCTCCTTTCGCTCGCCACCAAATCCTTCCGTCCGTTAGCAAAACACGGCAGTCATGCACGTGTCGCGCACCCGCCTGCCTTTTTTTGCAAAGCGTAAGAAACCTGTTCAGGTTTTAAATAAATAAAAACGTGTGAATGTGCGGCCGTGAGGCTGCACGGGGGAGCCACGGCGTTCACTTCTCCGGCGACGCCTCATGATATCTGCAGGTTCTGGAAGACGGCCATTGAGCGCATGATGTTTTCATCCTGAACACAAGAGTGCAGGGGAGAGCAGTGGTCACAAAGTTGAATGAATTGCGAGGGGGGTCACATTTTGGGCCACCTTTTGATGCTTTTGCTTGGGCCTCAGAACTCTCACGGGAAGTTAAAGTTCCAATCTAAGCCATCTGCAACCAGCAAACACGGAATGTATTAAAGGGCACCGCTTATTTAATAACTGCTGCTGACTGTTCTTTAAAAAGATGTTTAGTTTTTTTTCGACACGTTTATTCCAATTTAAGTAAAGTTTAAATATGAGAAAAGTTATCCGTATGGTGATCTTGCAGCGCAGTACACGACCACATTTGTTCGAGAATGCCCTGTGGAAAGACGACTTCGTAGAACTAATTCTGAAATTGCTTCACGTCAAGGTATGTATTTTATCCACTAGGGGCCACACTATCCCCACGTCCTGCCACAGATACATGCTCGTCACATGGCAGTCAAAACACCCAAAGTGAAGAACCAAATTGGGGATGTTTTGTGTGGTCTCTGCGGCCGGGCTAATGGCATTTTTTTTTGCTTCACTCGAGATCACCGTTTATCATAGTCAGCCGATCCCGTGATTCAAACATGCAATGCCAGCTTGGTGCTCTCAATCCTGAGCCACGTGCCCACCTCTGAATGTTGCCCTGTTCCAATGAGTGGTATTAAATGAGTTTTGCTCCGACCTCTGAGAGGCAGCGGCCAAACGTTTTGCGAATGTGATGCAATATTTAAAATTTGCAGGCGTGCACTCATTACATTATAAGTACATAATACATAAACTCCAGCCTTTCTTAAATCCACAAATGGACCAATGGATGAAGGCCTCCACATACCATGTTGGTCAATGTGTTTTTTTAGCTACCATACTTCACCACGCTGGTCAGTGTGGTTTGGTGAAGATGGGGGAGGGCATGACTGTTTTTGTTTTTAAATGTCAATGATATACACCTGTATATAATGCCATTTGGGATTTGTGCCTCACATTTTTGCAGGCCTGCATGAATTCTTCTATTGACACAACCCCATCCTTGTTTTGATCCATCTTCTGTTAAAGAAAAAAAAGTTCGTTTCACATATACCAAATTAGTTTTCAAAGCAAACAACGAAGATCTTTAACATTTCCCATCAAAACAATCGTGAGTTTCGTACCAGAAATGGAACATTCTGCGAATAGCTGCCGTTGCGTTTACGCGAAATTAACAACGGCTTTGGTTTTTTGATTTCGGGCAGACTTTTAATGAAGGAGTAGAGAGAAGTTTGAAACAGACGGTGGCAGAGAGTGAGAGAGGAGACGGCGTGGACGGCGTCGTTACCTGGAAAAATTTGTCAACGTGCTCCTCGGGAGCGCTCATTGGCACCGTAGGGTACGTGCCCCTGCCCATCATGTCGTAGATGGATTTTATGATGTCGTTCATTTCCTGCAGCAAAGGACAAGTGCGCCGATTGTAAATCGCGCGGCAGGACAAGCGCACACTTTACACTATTAGTGCACGGCTTCGATATTGCATGTGCTGGGTAACACGTTTAACGCGTCTCGGCAGCGCTGCGTCTAAAGACGTGGGGAGGCATACAAAACAGCTGGCCTAATTACATCCATGTAGGGTAGATAATGCAACTGTCATCGTGACCTGCAAGTTGCAGCCGGTACTTTTGTTTTGCTTCTTTTACAGATCATGAATATTTGGAGTTTGCGTGTTCTCGCTCTCTCTATCCCCCTGATCACATGGGTTTTTCTCTGGGTCCTCAAAATTTTCCCTCCACATTTAGAAAAATGCGTTTATAGTATTTGGCTGCCATAAATTTCCACGTGTTGAAAAGCGACTTCGTTGAGCTATCATTTGTGGCCAGGTCGCTTGTGAAAAAAGAGCTATATAGCTCATTGGGCCTTACCTGGTAAAATAAAAAAAAGTTTTAGTTTAGTATTCTCTAAAGTGGCGAGGTAATGTCAATACAGCGTTGGATTATTGATTCTCTGCGTTGAAATTTTAATTGTTATCCCCTCGTGTTATCCAGGTACTCCGTTTCCTCCCATACACCAAAAACTTCTTTCTGGAATGATCCAAATGCCGGATCCTCTTTAAAAAGGGTGGAGGCTCTGTGAGGCTTTGCTGCGTAAAAACGGGCATGATTGTATCATTTAATCATGGTTCGATTCAGATATTTATGTATGATGTAACTTCGCATACACTGCGCGTCCCAAAAATTAGATTTCTTATTATTATGTTTTTCAGTAAATCTGCATCGTTGGGCCACCGTTGGCATGTAGTTGGACCAAAGTTGTCCCAACGTTCCATGTTTACTGAGTTGTTCAGAACACAATAAAATGGGACGTAATAAAAAAAAAACATTATTGCCGTATGACAACCAAAAATGTAAGCCAGCCTTATCTCAATGCAAGAGATGTGACATCTTCAAACCGTATATATTCTTGGACTACAACACTGCTATTTCTCTACACAAGTCGTATGGCATACAGTGGCACACGTAGCCAACCGCCGCCAATAAAGACCGCTGACATGTGGCACCAAAGCAATTCGCCGGCTTTACAGCCAAGCACCACTGAATGGCTCCACATCGTAGACATCAACGTTCAACGTCTGTTGCTCTTCCAAATGTCAGTTGCTCATCTCTGCCACACGTAGTGCGGAGGAAGAAGAATGGAGGGCATGCGGTTTGCACTGTAGAGATCGTTTCGTGCGTGAGCACGGACATCACCTCCTTGGTGATGTAGCCGTCCTTGTTGATGTCGTACAGGTTGAATGCCCAGTTGAGCTTGTCGTTCAGTGTGCCACGCAGCAGTATCGACAGCCCGGTCACAAAGTCCTGCAATCGCCGGGGCACCAAAGATACAAAGATCCCCCGCATAGCCTTGAACAGACCTGTTGGGCCAAGTTCTGTTAGCAAGTAGCACCTATGAAGGCCAACACGGCACACGAGGTAGGTGGGCGGCCAGCACCACGCCCAGCTGTGGTGATGTTTACACACCTCACCGGGTACTCATTTGAGGCTCAGTCGACCTAGGGCAGGCCCAGGACCGGCTCAGATAATTGTCATTGGTGTTGACCATGAGCCGGAATCGACATTGGATCGTCGGGATCATAGCGCAGACGCACTAACCCCTGCTCTGTGCCTGAGATTCCTCGTTCTCATGGCCAAATTGATTCCATTTGAGATCCATAACCAGGTCCTCGGGTTGCCACCCATCATGCTTTTCCCAGGACAACATTATTTTTGGGACAGTTGCCCTTGGAAATCTAAAAATGTTCCTGGGATTATTAAAAGTCCCTGTTTTTTTGTCAGCTTAATAATACACCACTTATTACATTTAGGTATCTCCTCATTCGGCATTGTGAGATATTATTTCATTAAAAAAAACTATCCTAGGATTTCCTAGGTTCGTTTTTGCGCGTTTTGTACGTTCAAGGTGGCAACCCTACCGGGTGGCCTGGTCTTTGCTTTTCAAACCAAGCCACACATTAAAGGTGATGATACACCAGGGTAATATTATGGAAATCGTAGCCAGCGATTGCTACCGGCAATAATTATTTCCGCAGGCAATAACGGCTGGATAAACTATCTATTATAGAAAAAACATAGTTGCCGAAATCTGGACAAATCTGATTGCTGCTCCCCCTCGTGGGAAACTTGAATCGCAACTTTCAATCAGATCACCGAGAGAGGTCACATTACTGCCCAAGGTTGTCATGTTCTGGAGACCGTTCAGCATTTTCAACAAACTAATTTTCATCATTGGCTAGACAGACCTCCGTCACTCTATGGTATTGCTGTCCCAAGTTTGCAAGTTATCTCAAAGTAGTACATCGCCAGTGACAATTGCTGGAACACAATTTCCGTCAAATTTCGCCGAGTGTGTCATAACATTCGGAGCCGAGTTGACCGCAGAAGCAGCCGCGATTTCACGGGGTCAACGTGGAAGCGAGATACGCACCCCGAGATGAGGTTAACTTCTCACTCGCGTTGTTTTAAAACGCAAAGTGAAATTTTAAAAAATACAAGAGTTTAGCTTCAAATTGTCTAACTTAACACGTGCCTATGTTAAACGTTATCAACATATAATTTTGAATATCGCTGCCTAACAAGCAGCCAATCCTTATTTTACGTGCCAATATCGCCCTCAATAAAGTAGGCATCAGTGCCCATCACAACCTCTGCCCCCCACCCTCACCCCTGGCCATTGAGCGAAGGGCCAGATGGGACGAAGGCTTACAGTGATAGGGTGCAAGGTCATTGAGGGTGAGGCCTTCCCTCGGTACGAGTCCTGGTGCTGACTCTGGGCCATTTACTGGGCCAGCCGGGCCCTGTTCCCAGTGGCCATGGAAAGGACGCATCAGCTCCACGCGGTCGTTTAAAACGATCCCGACTTATTGCGAGCGCGGGGAATTTTGCCGAGACTTGATTGCTTGCCCCACACAGCAATTACACTCTTCGTCTAATGGACTCGGTAGAGAACTAATTTGTTCGTCTTATCTCCCCGTTAAAATGCGCCACGGCAGAAATTCTCATTTGGTGCGGTCACATCTTGATATCGCCCTCAGTGGGACACTGATGTAGTATGTGGAACGCGCACAATGTGGTTTGCCTGATTATAGTGTTTATAGGCAGTGGCATATAATTGTAAAAAAAAAATCTATAGGTAACACATAATAGTACATCTTTCAATATCAGCTTCGCACATAGTGTTTATGTAATTTTCACGCAGAGAGGGTCTCCCCTGAATAGTGTTTGACCTCTGCTATTCCACGATATGCCACTAAAAACGATGAATCAACATCTCAAATCCTGCAACGCGTGCACGTGCCACTCTTGTGTCAATCCGCCGGCGGATGAGGGCATCCCCCCCGCACCACGTGGGTGGTGGGGTTAATTTGAGAGTGCTTCACCACACGCTGGTGAGTGGATGTTCGATGAAGGCGGCGTGGGGGGGGGGCAGCAGTGACTGTGGGACACTGCAGTTGCCCGACAAATGGGATTTTTCTACACTGCCCTCTGCTGACAACTCTCTGTGATCCTCTAATTCGGATGTATAATATATTTATCGACGTCGCATTGTAAGGAAAAAAAACCACACGTGGCTCCCGTTAATCATGGCAGGACGGTAGAGCTTGTGAAAAAAAAAACACGAACGTCAACCAATATTTCAGCTCGCTTTAAAAAAAAAAACAAGAAACGAGATTTCAGTTGGGGAGGGGAGGGGGGGGGTGAGATGCCACGAACGCAGCGGAGTGAGAGACGTCCGCTGCTCGCCCAAGCGGCGGACGTAATAACGTTGACGCACGGACGGGCCCTCCGTCACCGTAATCGCCTCCCCCCACCTCCTCCCCAACCGCGCGCCCGTTCGCACGGTCAACGGCGCCAGCCGCCGAAGCACCTCGAAGTTGAGCGATCCGCTGTGATCCTTGTCGAAGGCATTGAAGAGATAGTGCGCGTAGGTGCTGGCGTCTGGCAGACGACACGCGGGGAGGGCACGCAGGCAGAGAGAGAGAGAGAGTCGCACGCTTCCGTGGCTCGCGACGTTGCATGGGTTCGCGACGGGTTAAGTGACGGTTATCAATCATTTGAGTGCTGCTGAGAATGTGCGCGCGAGTGTATGTGTATACCCGCTCTTGCCTAGTGGGGAGCGGTGGCGCAGCGGTTAGCGTGCTCCCCTACGGACCCGGCGACCCGAGTTCGATTTCCAGCTCACGGCCACCAACACCAGTGATGGTTATTTGAACTGGTCCTGGGCCACCCCTAGATTTACTCAGGCTCAAATTAATATCTGGTGCGATGTGTAAACATCGCCACTCGGGAGGCAAAGGCGGCCAGGCCTTAGTGCTGGTCACACACCACACCTTGTATGTATGTTGAACTTCAAGGCTATACGGGGGATCTTTGCCTTGTTTGTGTGTGCAGCCGTTCTTACCTCCTTGCGGGAAGAACTGTGCGTAGATTTGTTTGAACATTTCCTCGTCCACGAGGCCCGTGGGGCATTCCTGCGGGAGGGAAGAGCATTGGGTGACAATTTTAATGTTAGCTTGAAATATCTGTACGTTGAACTTCGGAGCCAACCGTGCCAATCGGAGGTGCATATGACTCGTAAAAAAATGTGTCATTAAAATTTTTTTTATTCTTGCTTTTAATTTTTGGTCGATAACGTCGGCCAACTGTATTTTTCGACGAAGTGAATATCATAAATCATTCGGCATATAACATTACTAAATGATCAAATGTATTTTTATCCTCATGATACATGCATTGACTTGGCTATTTGAAATGTATCCAAAATTAAATGGAAATTATACTTTGAGGTTCATGCACAGACTGAGAAAGAACGAACAAGGGAAAAACAAAAGAGGCAAACAATACAAACGGGACAACAATCAAGACAACAACAAGATCGAATCACATCGCGACCTCGAATTGTGACAATTTATTATCGTGAAGAGAGGGGGGTGGCGGAGCGGAAAAACAATCTTCACCACATAACGAAACAAGCGGTGTGTGCGTGGGAGAGCCGTACGTTCTTGAAGCCGCGGTAAAGGATCTGCAGCTCCTTGCGGTTGAACTTGGTCTGCTCCTGCAGGATCTCGAGCCCCTCCGGACGGTGGCACATGGGGGACAGCTCCAGATCGTCCTCCGTGCTCTCTGTGGGAATCAAAGTCCGAGCGGAATGTGAGAGCTCACAGGGGGGGGGGGGGGGGGCTTCAAGGGGAGCTGACCGGGATGCCCCTCTGATTGCTTTTTGTATTCATCCGATCAGTAGCGTAACTTGCGTGGGAGCAGGCAGGGGGTGCCTTGCCCCCCCCCCCTTCTCCGTGGTGGCCAAGGCAACGAGTTGGGGCCCCCTTGACAACCACCATGAGAGCTGGAGTGGTTGCATTTTGCGAATACGGAGCGGCCCTCTAGCGTTAAATGTTCGAGACCGTGAGCGTAATGACGTGACTAGGCGAGAGGAGCCGCGATATACAATAGCCTGGGTGCGACTGTGGGAGACGAATCAAATCTTGGGGCCCCACCTGACCGACTGCCATAGTTACGCTACTGCATCCGATCCGCTGGCAGCGAGCGCCCCGCCTACCTAGAGGCTTCCAGTGGTGTGGCGTTAGCATCGGTTGCATTGGAGAAAGGATTCATATGGGGAGGTCTCTTGTCCAATCGACCACCCTCTTAATAGTTAGGCAACTGGGCCACCCAGCACGTGGGCCTCGGTGTACAGCAGTTGCACTGCTTGAACGCTAAACAGCTGCACCACTGGAGGCTTCAGAACATGAGGCGGTAATTTGTGATATGGAAGTGTTTCCAAATCGCACGCTGCTTCATATTTCATATGTTGTCTGGCGTTCGGTGGTCTTAAAGGAGGATGGGCAGGCAAGGAGTGCTCGATTTTGAATTCAAGTGGAATCCAAAAATAAAAAAATGAGGCACGTGCCGATCACACTCCAGCTTGTTTGATCGCAGAGCGGGAGTTTGCAATGTCTGAGAGCATGCACCGTTAGTTTCGTCTTATTTTAACGGATAGGCAAATACTGTGGCCTAGAGACTTTAGCCTAACGGTTCATGTAGCTAGCCTCTGCCTGCCGCTGTCTGCGTGGGTTGAATGGTGTCAACCGAGACGACCGACCACTTAGCCAATGCTGTGACCGCGCATGCAAAGTAGGAAGAAGCCACTTTGTGTCACTTTGCCGCGTGCGTGCGTGCGGTGTGGCGAATGGACAGGATGTGCAAGAGGAACAACGACATGCACGTGACGGTCGTGTTAAAAATAAAATAAAAACCCGTTGTTGTTTAACACTCGAGTGATGCGAGGTGCGACAGCAAGTGACGGGAGACAGTACAGACTGTGTACAGCAGGGACACGGAGTGTGGCACTAAACGACTCCTCCCAACGGCCCCTTCGCCAGGCCGGGGGTCACTCGTCGATGACCTTTTACGTTTTGACAATGCAGCTGCAGGACCCATAGGGTATGTGCGATGGGGTGGTTTTTTTGTTTATTAATGACCATGTAACATAGAGTTGATAATTACCCCCTAAATAATAATAGTATTATTATAATTAATTACGTAATTTATGATTCGGAAAAGGAGTCTGGAAGGCCGAAAGGTAGATGGACCGGTAAATAGCCTAATTTTAAGAGGTGAAACTCACTGCCCAAAAATAATCATTTCCAAATAAAACAATACAGGTTTTTACATACTGTAACGAAAACAAGAAATTAATTGTGCAGATTAATAGAAAACACTGCATAACTAGAAAGTGAACATCTTTAACCTGCAGAGGTTTGCAAACTCTCACTGACGCCGAGTTTATTCGTCTGGCACGCTCCTCTGCCCCCCATCGTCCTTGCTCCATGACTCATGATAAAAAAAATTTTACAGCTCCCTATTCAACACTCCTCAAACCATCCCCCCACCTCTGCCACCCGCTCACTACCCCGAGCGCCTATAATTTACGTAACTCCCGACCAATAATAATAATAATAAAGGAGACAAAGTGCAGTAACGAAAGAAATAAATAAACACAAACAAAACAGTAGCGCAGTAAACAATACAACGAGGAGATGCAGACGTTAGACGCGTGGGCGCATGACAGTTTTTGTTTTAAACCGGAAACCAAACTTGCTTTGACCATTCGTCGAATTATTGGAGCGGGCGCAAGCAATACATTTCAGCAACCGCTGCTTAATGGTGCAGTGCCTGCCGTCAGAGCGCGTGCCCTTCCCTATGGACACAGGCAGCAAGAGAGAGAGGGGTGGGGGTAGAGGGCATGGGAGACGTGGGGCACACAGTGGCATAGAAAAGCCACGCACAAATCCCATGACAACTCACAGCGGAGTCCAACTGGCATGCGACACAATATTTGTTGAGTGAACAAAGATCAGCGTATTTTCATTGTCGTGTTAATATATGTATCTTTTTTTTACATGGGGCAAACACTTGCCACTCGTCACACGTAAAGTGTAAAGAGACTTCGTACGATAGTTAAAAAAAAATATTGAAAAAAAATATGGCAAGCTACGCACAAAGCCACGGGCCAACTGGTATATGCACACGACGCTCTTGACAACAAGAAATATTCATCATTAGACCTCCTTTGCCAGTACCAAAATGTAATAATAGGGGTTTTCCCCTTTTTTCTGACAACAAAACTGAACCCTTTTTGGCGTCATTTTGTCGAGCACCAAATGGGTCGAGGCTCAAAAGAAAGCCGTCCCTTGGTGTGGACCAATCAGTTTCAAGGACAATGCATATATTATCATAGTATGTTTTTTGTTTTCATTTTGACTGCAGGTATTGTGGTTAATGCAGACATGGATCCTTGTAAAAAGGTTTCAGTTTTGTTGCCAGAAAAAAGGGGAAAACCCCTATTATTATAAGAAATATTCAGTTCGCGATTTCGTTGAAAATAATATACACCGTATGTTGTGCATGGAAACAAACAATTATTGAAAATTGTCTTAACAAAGATGTATTTAGCCAATTAAATGCACAGTTGGAGTTTGGTTGTCCAACATCTTTACAATGAAGTTGTATCGATATTTTTGTTGTTGCATGAACCGTTAGTGGCGCACACATTTAGTTCCAATAAGAAAGCAATGTGATGCATTATTTTTCAATCGTACAATGCGCCGACGTTTGCCACTCCTCATAGATAAAGGATAAACAGAATCCTCCGTATAAAATACGATGAAAGCGTACTACCGTCCATTCGATGGATACCATAAAGCCACCGCATAAGAGGGTTACAAACGTAAACATTTCATGGCTATTGAAGTGGCCGTTAAAAGGTGTTGACCTCTAAAGACACGGTACATTGCGGTGGGGGGGGGGGGACACCTCCTGTCAATATCCGTGCGCTGTGGCACTCAGCTGCTGCTCATTCTGCTGAGCACAGCATTCTCCCAGTGATCAAAATCTCGACAGAGGCTTGGGATAGCTTTGTGCCGTTATCACACGGAGGGCGCGGGCGAGGGCACCGCCCCGCTCAACCCCCCCCCCTCCTCCCCCGATTTACAGGCAGCACTTGGAGATGTGGCGCAAAATCCGCATCTTTATTTATTTAGGTATGTGGGTTTTTTGTTGTTGTTGTTAAAGGCCAACGCAATTAAAAAACATTTACATTGATCGCTTGATTCGCTTACACGCCAGCGAGTAATAACGGCAATAATAACAATGAGAGATCTTATTTTGAGCTGAGGTCACATCAACGTGATTTTTTTGTTTGTTCCTCTTAAAACATTCACCCCAAGAGGTGCAACCGCACACGCTGCTACCGGATGCGAACACTGTTCTCAGACAAAGATCCCCCCGTTTAGCCTTTAACAGTCTGTAGAGGCAAGTGCTGTTAGCGGGCATCTATAAAGGCCGTAACGGCGCACGAGGCCAGCGCCACGCCCGACCGCCTTTGTCTCCCTTAGTAGAGATGGTTACACACCACAACTAATTTGAGGCTGAGTCGACCGAGGGGAGGCCCAAGACTTTAACATTAATCGGCAGCCGGCCAAAATGAGCCAGTGTTGCGGGGACCTTCGGCACCAAGCGATTGTTGAGCCTCGTTCCATGCCTGATGGTGTCATAGCTCCCATGTGAAAGACCTAACGCAGCAGATCCCTGGGTTTGATCTTCCATGAAGCTCATGGCCCGCCATGAATTGCATCCACCGCACAAACCATGGCAGCAGATGCAGATAACCTGATGCGTAAGTGGAAAATTAAAAGCTTTCCAGTAGTTTGGCTACTTTGGTCATCCAGAAACAGACCGTACAACGCATAACGATGCAATGCCCGATCCACAAATACGAAGGAGACATCGCGGTGATGAATTACTCCTGATGCGGTTACCTGGGCTTGACCACCTTAATGTGAAATTGTTGCTTTGCATCTATTACATCAGCGGCCATACGACAGAAGAGGAAGAAGCTCCCAGTAAATCCTGAACAGCGAGGGTTTTCGGATGACCGCCTACGGACACTTCATCAGTGGCTATCAGTTCCATTTTTGGGGACAACAATTAAAACACAAAGCCCCAGGGCAGACGTGCACTGCCTGAATTATACAGGACACCTCCCGTCACGCGCAACAGCCAGTGGCTTGCCTGCCCTCTGGAATCCCTCGGAGGATGCGTGGGGGTTAATGAGACTGTCGGTGCCTCTGTGAATTACCGTTTGCAAAAAGAGCAATGACAAATAAGAAACAATAACCCCACCAACCCCCCCCCCCCCCCAAAAAAAAAAACACAAAGGGAGGTTAACTGCTGCCACATTGACTAAAAGAAACGATCAATAAATAATATGCTTCACCCAAGTACTGGAACAAATGGCGAAGATTGAAAACGAGGATCAAGGTTGCCGAGATATGTTGGTGTCGGTATAAATCGTGGTCCAGCATGAACATGCTTTGCTTCGCACGATTTTAACTTGGCTCTCGTTGGAATTGGGCATAGCGCCAGTGTAATAGTCTGTGATCATTCTTACGTTTGATTTTTTTGTGGAATAGTTTGGCGCAAAAGCTTCCGGTGCTTTACACCATGGGGCTTGGTGACAAATTGAATGTTTTTCAATAACCAGTTTTTAAATCGGCATTTGAATAGTTACCCAATACTAGCTATTGGGCAACAGAGAAACATTTTGAATAACAAAGAGGCATTGC